GCTCAGATGCAATATATTTGTCCCATCCAGTCGGCCATGTTCTAATATTTGCATGAATGAGACTTTTTATTCTTATTCGTTACAAGGAGATATTTTCTATAGCGCCTCTCAAGATAAATATCACGAGGCACTTCACAAAAACAAAAAATTTAAAATATAAAATAAAATTAGAAAATGGTTAAAATATATTTAAAATGAGCAAAAAATAGACAATTGTGATTCAAAAATGTAAAGAAAGAGAGTGAGTGAATAGATAAGAGGGAAATCGGTGGCTCCTGAGAAAGGTGGAATAGGTGGGGAGAGCAGAATAAAGAGAGAGTGGTGAAGAAGGTCATCCAAAAGTTACTTTGAACAAGTGAGTTTTCAGCTGCTTTTTAAAGGAGACCACTGAGTCCACTGATTTCAGCCTCAGGGGGAGAGAGGTCCAGAGTCTGGGGGGCCACAGCAGCAAATGATCCGTCACCTTTGGTCTAGGGCTGAAACGATTCCTCGAGTACCTCGAATAATTCGAGTACAAAAAATCCTCGAGTCAAATTCTCTGCCTCGAGGATTCGTTTAATTCATATTTAATTAATTCGTGGCTTTGCAGTCGCCCGTGGTCATGTTTCACCCGGACTGAAATAAGTGACGCACATGCCCACTGGACTGCGCACGCGAGTAGCGAATGTAACTTAACTTTCTCTTAAGCCATGGCGGACAACGTGGACCCCGGTGGAGTGCGAAAAAGACAGAAAATGTCAAGATGTGGGACCATTTTTCACGTTGTTAGGCGGAAAACGTACTCCAGTGTAAATACTGTAAAATGGATTTAGCCTAGCACAACACCACATCCTCCATGCTGCTGCAGCGCCTGTAAATGTCACTTCTGCAAGCGGACTCGGAGCCTCTACAAGATAATGCATTTTAGCCTGTATTTCCATATATTCTGCGGACACTGTGCGACTTTTTCGTTTGTAGCACATAGTTTCAGCTCACACCGTACGTCTGGTAGCAACACGTCGGACTTAAAATGTGCTAAAAAAAATAGCATTTTTACACAAAACGTCGGACTTTTTATTGTGTTATTGATGTTTGTTGTCCCTCGGGATTGCTGCAGGATTACTGGTATTTATGAGAGGAAAACGAAAGAAAGTAAATAAATGTTTTGTGATCAGTATAATTTGACAAAACCACAGCAAACATGCTTTCTCGACAATCCTTGTTATTGTGTGAGTAAAAACGTGTTGAAATTAAAACGGACGTGTGTTAATAGGGAAACAGCCGGCGAGCTGTTTGCGCATGCACCGTGAGCGGTTCTAGTTCTGTTTGGGCCGCAGCCGCCCGCAGCGCTACTTCAACAGTTATCCTCTGGCTTGCAGGCTAGCAGATTCTCGCACGAGGGGAAAATCGGCTCAGGTTGTTTACTTATTTTTTGCACAGCCATTTGTTTACTGTGAAGTAAAGTTGAAGTGCTGAAGTTTTGAAAACTAATTTTGAATAAAACTTGAAGAATAACTGGCAATTGCTTGCTCATTTTAACAGGTCTTTCATAATTATAACATGCTATTTGATATAATGGTTTACAAATACAAAAGGGTAATTTATTAGAGTACTCGATTAATCGAAAAAAATATTCGATAGAGTACTCGATTACAAAAATATTCGATAGCCGCAGCCCTACTTTGGTCTTCAGCCTGGTGCTGCACAACCAGTAGGCTTTGATCACTGGACCTCAGGGACCTGATGGGGGTGTAGGGACGAAGAAGATCACCAATGTAAGATGTTGCTTGTCCGTGTAAGGCCCTATAGACCAGAACCAGGATCTTGAAATGAACCCTGAAGTTGACTGGCAGCCAGTGAAGCTGGAGGAGAAGAGGGGTGATGTGGGTGTATTTGGAGGATTTGGTCAGAAGCCGAGCACAGGCATTCTGAACCACTTGTAGACGGTTCAGGGAGGTTCTGCTCAGACATGTGAAAAGAGAGTTTACAGTAGGAGATGAAGGTGTGAATAACAGTCTTAAGTTCAGAGCGGCACAGAATGGGACTCAGCTTTGCAATGTTCCTGCGATGGAAGAAGGAAGAGCGAACAAGAGAACTGACAAGAGAATCCAGGGTGAGAGCTGGGTCAAAGGTCACGCCAAGATTCCTGACAGAGGGCTTGGTGTGAGAAGCAAGCTGACCATGAGTCTCTGACATTGGGAACCAGCTTGTCTGGTGCACAGATGAGGATCTCAGTCTTCATTCCGCTGTAGAAAGCTCCCACCATCCAGGTTTTGATAGTCTAAGCAGATGTGTAACAGCTGCAGCTTAGACATCTCATGGGGCTTAAAGGAGATGTACAGTTGGATGTCATCTGCGTAAAGATGGTAGGAGATTCTTTTGAAGGAGCTCAGGATGTGCTGAAGAGGAAGCAGATGGAGGAGGAAGAGCAGAGGCCCCAGTACAGAACCTTGTGGGACACCATGGGTATGAGAGGTGGTGGAGGACCTAAACTTGGAGACGGCCACAGAAAAGGAGCGCTCAGAAAGATGAGAGGAGAACCACTTCAGAGTAGTTCCTGATAGGCCTACCCAGTCTCTCAGCCTCTCCAGTAGCAGGTGATGGTCAACAGTAGCCTGGCCTGTCAGACTCATCCTCTGTTTAATTTTGTACAGAGAATGAGTCCGGTAACTCACAGCAGAGAGGCACTTGAGGGGCAGGACTAGGCAGCTCAAAAATGACCAATCAGAAAAAAGACGGGAATTCCTACTGTACCGCACGACTCTGTAGTTTTCTAGTTGTAGTAAAAAAATAGTCTCTGGCAAAGGCGCAAACATCTTTTTATTTTTTTTAGCACTTCTACTTGTGGTTTTAAAGACATTCAAGTCATTTAGAACAGAGGAAAGAGTCACAGCGAACTCCCCCGCTGTCTTCGTTGTTTATGAGAAACTGAGCGTCACTGTGTGTGACGTCCGCGACACTGTAAGTTTTTTTAGCTGTAGTAAAATTGGACTCTGACGACAGCGCAAAAATCTTTGTTTAGAAGAAAGGCTTTTAGCGCTTCTACTTGTTGTGGTTTTAAAGACATGTTCAAATAATTTAGAACAAAGGAAAGAGCCGCAGCAAACTCCACTTAAGTCACCATGTTTATGACAAACTCAGCGCTGATTAGCTCTGTTAGAATTCTCAGTGGGTGGGGTTATTTCAATAGGAGAGTTTCCAGACCCTTTCTTTGTGCAGAGTTAAACAGAGGAGGAGTCTGGCAGGCCAGGCTAGGTCAACGGTGTCAAAGGCTGCAGTCAGGTCCAGCAGGACCAGAACAAAACTGTCCCCTGCATCACTGTGAGTCAGAAGGTCATTAGAGACCCTAAGAAGAGCTGTTTCAGTAGAATGAGCTCTACGAAAACCTGACTGGAAGCTATCATAGATGTTATGTTCATCAACAGCAGCTGTAAGTTGTTTAGCTACAAACTTTTCCAAGATCTTGGAGATGAACGGAAGTTTAGAGATGGGTCTGAAGCTGCTATGGAGAGAGGCGTCAAGACTCGTTTTTTTAAGAAGCGGGTGGATTACAGCATTCTTAAAGTAGGCAGGGACCTGACCAGAAACCAGAAAAGCATTAATTATAGAGAGCACGCTGGGACCGATGGACTAAAAAGCACTTTTAAACAAAGATGAGGGTAAGATGTGGAGGGGGCATGCAGAGGTCTTCATAGAGTTAACTAGTTTGGTTAACTCGGGCAAAGAAACAGGAGCAAAGCTATCTAGGATGATGGGTCTGGTTGGAGTCGGGAGAGGCAGCGATAAGGCTGAAGGAGAGATGCTAGATCTAACCTTATTGACTTTGTCCACAAAGAAAGACAGAAAAGTCTCACAGTCTGCAACAGAGTGGATGGAGGCTGTAGGAGAGGCAGGAGACACGATACTGCTGATGGTGTTAAACAGCACCTTGGGGTTCCCTTTGCTCTGGGACACCAGGTTGGAAAAATAGGAAACCCTCTGACTGCAGAGTTTAAGGATGTCAGAAGATCCTTTAGGTGCAGCAGATGGACGTGGAGATGGGTTTTCTTCCACAAGCGCTCGATTTTTCTGCATTGGCGCTTCAGGCTCCGAAGGCCGTCATTAAACCAGGGAGTAGGGTTCACTACAGGAACTGATCTGGTTCTGACAGGACAGATGTTATCAAGAATGGAGAGGCAATGTTCGTTAAACTGAGAAGTTAAGGAGTCTGGGTCGTTATCAGAAGAACAGGGTGGATCAAAAGCAGAAGAAAAATTGCTAGCTGTGCTCTCATTGAGAAAACAAGAACTAACCAGACAGCGAGCAGGAGGTGGGGATGCAGAAACTGACAAGTTAAAGAATATGCAGTGGTGATCTGAAATATAGACGTCCTCAGTACAAACACTGTCAGCATTTAGACTCAGGCTAAAAACAAGGTCCAGAGTGTTCCCCCTGGTGTGTGTAGGGCCAGAAACATGCTGGGTAAAGCTGAAGGAGTCCATAAGGCTGGAGAAATTCATGGCAAAGTGATTATCAAGGTGGATGTTAAAATCACCAACAATCACCAGTCTGGACAGCTTCACAGTGGAGGATAGAAAGTCACTAAACTCCTGAAGGAAAGAACTGTTTGGACCAGGTGGACGATAGACCACAGCACAGTAGAACGGGTCCTTACGCCTGACTTTAATCAGCTGCAGTTCAAAATTAAAGTACAGGTTTAATATGAGTGTTTCACAAAAAATCACCTGTAGCTTGAGTGTGCAGACAGACCCCTAAAAAACAGGGTTTATTTTTGTTTATTTGGAAATACCTACTTGTTAGAATGTTTTTCTTCACAATTAGTAACCAATTTTTATGCACATACGGTCTAAAGTCAGTTTGCCTCATTTAATTTGCAATAAGGTACTTGTTACATTGATTTAAACCGAACAAGAGTGGTTAGAGTGCTTGCATGTGATTAAGCATCATGCTCAAGCATATCTCCCTATTGATTATAATTTATGAGTTTATTTATATTCCTTCATATTTGTGATATTTTTCAGGACCGTAAGCTATCAAAAGTGGAACGTCAGCGTTTTAAGGAGGAAGCGGAGATGTTAAAGGGCCTTCAGCATCCCAACATTGTTCGTTTTTACGACTTCTGGGAGTCTCCTCTAAAAGGAAAGAAGTGCATTGTTTTAGTAACCGAGCTCATGACTTCAGGAACGCTAAAAACGTATGTATTCTCAAAGATAGACGTATAGATAAAATCCAACTGTTCTAAGTGATTAAAAAAGGATGATGATGTGTTTCTGTGCAGCTGACATTTACCAACATTTTTTGTTTCTTTTTGTTCAGCTACCTGAAGCGTTTCAAGGTGATGAAACCCAAGGTGCTGAGGAGCTGGTGCCGACAGATCCTGAAAGGCCTCCACTTTCTTCACACCAGAACGCCTCCCATCATCCACAGAGACCTCAAATGTGACAACATTTTTATTACTGGACCCACAGGGTCGGTTAAGATTGGTGATTTAGGACTGGCAACGCTTAAGGCTGCCTCTTTTGCAAAGAGTGTCATCGGTAAGAGACCTGGGTAGGAGACTTAACCATGTGGCTTTGAGCCTGGATGATTCATTCAGATTATGAGTTTTCTGTCACTCTGTCTCTGTGTGTGTCTCTTTGTCTCTGTAGGTACTCCAGAGTTCATGGCTCCAGAGATGTATGAGGAACACTACGATGAAGCCGTGGATGTCTATGCCTTTGGCATGTGCATGCTAGAGATGGCCACATCAGAGTACCCCTACTCTGAGTGTCAAAATGCAGCTCAGATTTACCGCAAAGTCACAAGTGTGAGTTCAGTTCCTGTTAAATTTAAATACATTTCCAAGGAAGCGGCACATAGGAAACAAAACAAAACAATAATCAAAGCCTCTGTCTCAGAGGAGAGATGTTTTGATCACATGTTATGCTCAGGAGTCATTCCAGGGATTCCTCTGTGTTTTCATGTGTGCATTCAGAGTTTAAACTAGGTGAAGTGTAAATTGGTAGCAGCTAGACAAAGTTCTCCAGGTCATCATATTTGAAATAAACTGGAGTTCAGTGGAATCTGGTGTCATTTCCCCAGAATGCCTGGGCGGCCACCTTACTCGGTAGACTTCTTCAATCCCACTGGAACATCTTCTAGTGAGGAAGCGGAGTCTGGGATTTGGGTTGGATTTACCAATCTCTGGTGCTGACGTCACTGAGGTGGTAAAAAAAAAAAACTACCCAGTGACATTATGTGGCCTCATCTTCTGCCTTGCTGGAATACACTATGCAAAAAAAATCTGTAGAATAGTTTACTTTAAAAAACAGTTTGTATGATTGATTGTTTTTTTATAATGTAATGAAATTCCTTCACTGGTATGCTTAATTAGTAAATTTGGTTAAAGGGGCATTATGGAAGTTTGACAGCCAAAGCATGTATAGAAATAATAAATTTCTTCTTCATACATTCTCCTGCAATGCCCTGGTCCTGTAGAATGAGCCCTGGCATTTTTACTGTGATTGCCTGTTTTTTTGTAAAATCACAGAAAAAGAGAGCTGCTCGGGTCGAGCAGGCTGCTTCATGCGCGTTCACGCTCAGGCATAGCCCGTAGCATTTGCTATCAGTAGCTTTAGCAGCAGAGAGAGAGGTAGTGCCACTTTGTCGCTGTTCCTAATGCCTAGTCATGAACCTAGCTACATTTCTGAGGACCTTAGCTGCTTTCTTCTAGATTTTTCCTGCAAATTAGCAACAAAATAGCCATTTTCGCTCCAAACTATTCTTTGAACGTTGTTTCAGCTGTCATCAGGAATATAAATATTTCAGATACAAAAGATGTCACTGGTGCTATAGCTCATCTGGTAAGATGGCGGACTCCCGTGCGGAAGACCCGGGTTTGTTTCTGAATGTGAACATAATTTATTTAGAGTTTATTTTATACATTAATTGTATATTTTTTTTACAGTAAGATGCCCAAATTTTTATTTGCGACTCGCCAAACAGCATTGAATTCACAGATAAAAAAGATGTGGGTTCAACTTTCATTTTGGAACAATTTTTCAAGCAAGGGAAGGGAATGATCTGAGCATGCAGGAAGTCTGACCCATCATAAACCTTTGTCGGCTGTGCTGAAGAGAAAGGTACAGAACCAAATTATTTAATTAATTAGCTGCACGTTCTCCTGTCCTCTGTCCTCCGGGCCACACACACACACACACACACACACACACACACACACACACACGGGACTGTCTCAGCTGTTATTGTTGTTAAGGAGTGTGCATGTACAGCATGCGCTCCTCGTGCACGAGCCTACTATTGAAGATGCTGTTACGCTTTTGGCCTGAGGGGGCAATCGTGAGCATAAAAATTCAAAAGTCCGTAAAGTCCCTTTAAAGAACATTTGACAAAAATAAATCTCTAACTGATGCTACGTTCCTCCTGAGCAGCCCTACTATTTATTATTTTATTTCTATTCTTGCCAAGTCTACTTTGTGATTTTAGTTAAGTGTTTGAGTAATTGCTGCAGGAAGATTTTCATATCACAACTGTTTTTGTTGGGATAAATTCTCTGTCTCGAATATTTCAGTGAAGACTGGTGAGCCACATGAATTCACAGAGGGTTGCAGAAATCTTGTGTTGATAGAAAGCCTTTTTGTTTTCAGTGTGCCTCCCTCTTCATGTGAAGTGTGATGAAACAAGAGGTGTCTGAAGTCATGATGAAAGTGTTTATTTAATGAAGAGTATTGATTTTCCCATCTTGATTCCTATCAGGGTTAGATGCTATAATATGACCATTTCATGTGATATTAATGCAGAGCAGCTATCAGCTCCTATTGTGATGATTGAAAAGCAAGAGCATGGCTGTCTCTAGATACTGTTTTCTGCATAATGCTTCAGGATATTAATAGAAGATCAATCAAAAATGCATATGATATCATGTTGCTACATACATCTAGATGGAGGCAGCATTCAGCTGCATACCTCTGGGGATGTGAATACGTTCTTCTGACTGGGTCATAAAAAGAGGGCTGAATAAAAAGAAAGCTAATTTTTCCTTTGCCCTTCTTTCTGTACTAGCCATCAAAACGGTGTAATTTCATCATGTGTTCATAATGCTTTGTTTACACCGCTCTCCTCAGGGAGTGAAGCCAGCCAGCTACAACAAGGTCATGGATCCTGAAATCAAGGAGATAATTGGAGAGTGTATATGCCAAAAGAAAGAGGACCGGTGAGTGACTGATCACCTATTGTCTGATTGGAGCCACAAGGTGCTCTCTCATCTTTTGTGACTAATCTGACCTCCTCTGCCTCATTACTGTGCTGCTGACAGCAGTGTTTATTTACGCCATGAACTTTTCTGTGCCTCCTTCCAGGTACACCATCAAAGACCTATTGAACCATGCTTTCTTTGCTGAAGACACAGGTGTGAGGGTGGAGCTAGCAGAGGATGATGATGGGAAAAAGACCTCCATAGCACTCAAACTGTGGGTGGAGGACCACAAGAAGTTAAAAGGGAAGTACAAGGAAAGTGGAGCCATTGAGTTCACGTTTGATTTGGAGAAGGAGGTCCCTGAGGTTGTAGCACAAGAAATGGTGAGTGAATAATTTAAGTTCCACTGGCCTTGAAGTGCTTAGTCAGAGAAACAGAAGAGACACGTGGATTCAGAAACTAGTACTTTTTCTGTGTGCGTGATAAGATGTCACCCAGCTGTTTGAGGAACGTTTGAAAATATATTTTTATTTATTGTGGAATGTGCTCAAAATACACGATGAGACAGATCAGAGATTAATTTTAATTCTGATTTAGTTGAAATGATCTTCCAACTCTGTTTCATCTAAGGCTCAAAAATTGGTGATAAGAGACAATTTCATTGAGACAATAAATATGTTTTACTAAGAGCTGCTGTATTAACCTCTAGAGGAAAGGTGAGATGGAGGATGTGAACACTGTAAGGCTTTGCCACATCATGTTTTTCATGTGATGAAAGTTAACACTGACGATCTGTATTTCCTCATGTTTCTATTTTAACCTGAGTCTTCCTTTTTATTGTTGTTCTCTCCCACACATCCTCCTCTTTTGTCTGCTCTCTTCCCTTGAATCCTCTCAGCTGTTTTTGCCTTGATCACATATGAATGATGTCAGACAATGTGAAGATTACAGGTTTTGCATGCTTCCATGTCACAACACAACCTCAACCAAAGGCTGCATGACAGGAAGTTGGACCTCCTTCTCATTGCCTGTCAGCTTTTGTTAAAATTCAGGCTATTCGTGCAATTTATATGTAATTAGTAAGCAAAATGTAATTTCAGTTGCACAACAAAATCCTGCAATTTCTTCATTGTTACTGTTAGAATTCTCAAATCTTTTCCAATCAACAAATCTGCAGTTTGCAGAATTTCTAGAGAATCATGCCCACAGCGTTAACCCCCTTTAAATAGATTTTTTTTTCAATTATTAACATTAAAATAAAAATACAGAACTAAATTGCTACAAGCCAAAATGAAAAAGGGGACGGAAAGAAGATAAACTTATGTTATCTGCCCCTTTTAACTAAAATAACATTAAAACAAATGAAACAATCGTATGATTCTTAAAAAATTTGAACAATATAGTTTCTGGACTGGTTGGCCGACACAACCTCAACCCATGAATTGAAAAAAAGAGAGAAAACAAGTGACACAGAAAGAAGCATAAAGTTATAGACCTATATACATACATATACACACATATGCATACATAGACTTGTTTCCTTTTCCCTTTTTTTTTCTTTCATCCCCCAACCCCCCTCCCCTCACGCATTTATGTAACAGATCTATTATATAAGTTAAACATTTCATTTTTTTATCTCTTTTTTTGAAAGTCAATGTTGTTTTTGCATTCTTGATTTCAGTATTTAATTTATTCCACAGTTTAACTCCATATATGGACACAAAATGTTCCTTTATGAGTATCCTATGTCTAGGTATATTAAATAATTCATGTCCTTTTAAATCATATTTGCTATGTCTTTTTGTAAATCTTTTGATTAAACCTGCAGGTACGTTCCTTTTGTTTGCATTGTACATACATTTTAAAATATTGTAGTCCACCAGATCATAGAATTTTAGTGTTTTTAATTTTATAAATAATGGGTTGGACAGATCTCTGTAGTTGCTCCTTGTGATTATTCTTATTGCTTTTTTCTGTAAGATGTAAATAGAATTTGAGTAAGTTTTATACGTTGTTCCCCAGATTTCAATGCAGTAGTTCAGGTATGGTATGATCAGTGAGTTATATAACAAATATAGTGAATTATTATCAAGTAACCATTTAGCTCTATGTAACAGTGCAATAGTTTTAGATATTTTAGTTTTGACACTGTTTATATGCAGTTTCCAAGACATTTTTTCATCAATGACTCCCAATGATGATTTCCTTTTCCATCTTACTTGTTCCTCATCTCTTCCTCCCACACCTGTTTTTATTGCACCCTCTGTTATCTCACATGCTCACTGCTAAAAATACCCTGGAAATCTTCACGCTGTTCCCTTTCCTTTGTCAGGTGGAGTCTGGCTTCTTCCATGAGAGTGACGCTAAGACTGTTGGGAAATCCATCAAAGACCGTGTGGCACTGATCAAATGGAGACGAGGGAGAATGGCATCTGTTGCAGTTCCGGCAGAACAAAGTGATGCAGGACACAGGGCCAGTGTAGCTCCCCCTGAGGTAGTCAGTGCCGGGGGGCCACATGTGGGACAGCCTCTTATGCTTGAACCACAGGAGCCAGACGCAGATCAACACTGCCGACTGCATAACCTGCCAACAAGCACCACCTCAGTTACATGTAAGAGGTTTTGTTCTCAGCCACCCAGAGACTAAATCTAAATCCTTGACTTCTTTATGAGCACTTGATTTATGTGTCTTTGCAGCAGACCGCACACTCGACAGTGGTTTGGGATCGACTGTGTACTCAGACTCCCACAGCAGTCAGCAGAGTGTCCTCTACCAGTCCCTGTTGGAGCCTATTACTATGGCAACACAGCAGGTCGGTACCAGGAGCTTACACACCCATGTGGACAACGTATATTCAGATTAAATAGAATTTTCACAACAGCCATCTGACTTCTGACCTCCACTCAGACGATGTTTCTACACTTGATGCAGATTTCTGGACGTACTTAGTCCTAACATGTTCAAGAAAAGCAAACATATATATTTTTTCTGTTCATTTTGAGTAACATATTTTGCTTTTGGGTTGTTCATCAGTGCCAGAGCGGTAGCCCTTTTCTGACAGATCGACCTCACTCCTTTGAGAATGGCGAAGTGTGGCAGGCACCGCTGAGTCCTGAGCTCAGGTCTCGATTGGGGACTGCAGGACGAAGGGGAAGTGCTCCTGTTATTGACACTCAAAGGGCAAACCAAATCAGTGAACTCCATGCTTTCATTCAGTCTCAGAGATCAATCAGTCCCACCGTCATGGTACCAGAGAACCGTTTGGACTACAGCCACAGACAAACGCAGCTTCAGCCCATCTCACACACTGAGGATGGTCTTCTTTCTCCGGGTGTTCTGCCAGTGCCGCAAGTCTCTCCCGTTTCTTCACCTTCTGAGTTACGTCGTCTTAGCGATACTGGTCTTAGATCACTAACAGAGGCCACCAGTGAGAACTTAAGCATTTCTGTGCCAAATGCTCGCAGACACTCTGACCTTAGCAGTCTTTTGAGTCTAACATCTAATCAAAAACATCTTTATGGATTTCACAGAAGCCCCACATGCCAGGCCTGCCTCTCTTTGCTTCTGTTAAGGTCACATGATTGCATCCATCGCTCTTCTGCTGTCTCACCAACATATCTCTGTCCGTGTGCCTCTCGCCTCCATCCATTGTTGGGTGGAAAAATGACCACCAGTGGTCATGGTCAACCAAGAAGTCCAAGCGATTATTCAAATTTGTCAATGCTACAGCAGTCCCTGTTTAATATAACTGGCCGCAGATCAGCTTCCTGTCACACCACAGCCTTGCCGCTTCACTCCTCAGCTACTTCAAGACCACTGAGCTGCGATGGGGACTGTAGCCAAAAGAGCAATGTAAAGTCTCCCGAGTCCCTCCATGGGGGTGGGGACAGACTCTGTTCCAGAGATCAGCAAGCTACCACAGCTACAGGAGTGGTAGGTTCCAGCAGCCAACATGTTGCTTTAGTTTCTTGCAATGAAGCAAAGACCTGCTATGTAGATTTCTCCCAGCCTAAAGGAAGTGCATTTTTATCCTGCATGAAGCTGGTCTGATCTCCTTTCTACTTCTAGTGTTGCTGCCTTTTAGACTACCAGCTCTCACCGTCTTACAAGCTTGCTACTGTCAAGGGAGAGTGGTGCAACAACTAACAGTCTACATTTTCCTTCTGATTAACTTCAACAAAAACCCTTCACTAAGTGACCTAGATTTTAAAATTTCTCCTGCTTTACTGGAGCAATGTGACATCTGTCTTCCTCCTTAGCCTGCTATGGATATATGAGCTCTGATTCATGAAGACTGGGTGGTAATCCAGTTGCCGTCCTCTTAGCCTCTTTTATTTCTCCCTTGTTCCCTCAACTTAGCTCAAACCTGCCAGTGCCTGCTTATTGTTTAAAGAGATGCTTCATTAACATTTTTCTGACTCATCTTATTATATTCAAATTTGGTCTGACCATGTACTAGCAGTCACTTGTTGAGAAAACCCTCTCCTGATTATGTTGAGTCTTTTTTGTCTTTAGGCCAGTTCTGCTGGTCAGCAGAATCAGCCGTGTGTCCAGGGCCTGCCCTCATCCGGCGTAGCTGTTCACACACCACAGCAGTATCTTCAGCCCGGGCAAAGCTACCCAGCTGCTCTATACGCCGGTCAGCCAAGTGTTTCAACACCAGCTTCAGCCAGCCTATGCTCAGTAAACAGTCAGCAACAAAACCCAGCTGCAGTGAGCTTCACAGCGTCGGCTGTGCCGCTTGCTGCACAAAGCTACCAAGCAGCAGTGCACCAACAGCAGCAGGCAACTGTAGCCGGCTCTGTGACTTTTCCTTTACCAGAACAGCAGGTTTCCCATAATGCTGTAGCCTCAGTTCAACAACAAGCTCAGGCTGCAACGGGTTATCCTGCATCAGTTCAGCATCAGACTGTCCCAACCACCCTGCCAAAACAGCAGCCAGTACTTAGCTGTCCTGCTGAATCAGCTCCTTCAGCCACGGCAGCAACAGTTCAGTGTCAGCCTGCGCATGGTCCCAGCACTGGTCAGCAGGCCCACGTTTCAACTCTACAGTCCAGTCAGCAGCCTGGTCACAGTTCCTCCACACCAGCACTTTACAGTCAGCAGGCATCCATTCATCAAAGTACTGAATCAAGCATTCAACAGGCACTGAATTGTGGGCAGGTTTATAATCAGCATAACCAAGAATCTGTGCACACCATCGACTATAAAACGGCACAACCGCATGTCCTGTCAGCTCAGAGCCTCTTGGATTCTGCGTCTCCTCAGCACAATCACAAGATCGTGACGTCTACACTTCCCGAACAAAACCAGAATGCATCCCATCCCGCAGGAGTCCCGGCTGTGCAGGTTGCTTCAGAGCATCTGGGTTACTTTGCACCAGGTTTATCTGATGCTGCCTCTCAGAGCTATGCACATTCAGCCATTCAGCAGACTGCACCATGTCTAAGCCAGTACCCATCAACACAATGTTTCAGTGCTTCACTTGGCTATGGAGGAGCTAACCAAGTTGTAACTCCTCAGAACCTTCCAGTGTCTTCTCAGCAAAGCCACACTGCTAATGTCAGCCAACAGGTGAGTTTCAACACGGCTCCTAATTTTAAAAATGTTTAATACGTACAGTTTCTCTACAACATTTACTTTGTACCACAAAGACAATGTAAGTTTAGTCAAACACCAGAGAAAAAGTGTCAGCTTATTTTATTTAGTGCAGAAGATGTAGACTAGTTCCAGTTAGAGGCATATGAAGAAAGATGCAAACCTTTAGAATCTGAATCGACTGCAGAAATGAAGGATGAAAGTGTTGCTCCGAGTCAGCGCTGAAGTCCATCTCTCTTTTTTTGTAGATTGTTTCTACTGGTCAGAGCATCTCACAAATCGGACAAGATGGACAAGGCCATGGACTGATCGCGTGCCAGTCTGCTTTTAGTGCATCAAATCAGGCACTTCAGACTACTGTCCACCAAGAACTCCAGCCTCTGCAGGTTTCAGCCTCACTTCCACCCCCACAGCCATCCCTGGTAATTTTTAGTATTCATCATTAAAGTTTTTCATGTCTGATATTTTGTGGACTTCGACAGGTTGTTTTTATTTATTTTTATACTTGAGATGCAGCTTACCCTGAAGCAGCACCTGACTTCTTTATTAGGACCTTTTAGATCATGTGATTTTCCTGTTTCTTCCTTTCTCCTTCAGTTTTCCTCACAGTATCCAACAGTCCAGGTGATGACAGCTGTGACTGACTGTGAATCCTCCTGTCCTCCCTTCTGCACTGCTCCTCACCTATCTGTACCCTCCTCCTTTTCTCATACCTACCTTTCTCCTGGATACACCATTTCTGTAACCCCCTCTGTCTCTCCTGTGTCTCCTCTGCACATTGAGAACACATTAGTTTCACCCATCCCAGTGTCCCTCATTCCTTCCCCTTCCTCCATGCTGGGGATGGTGGGACCCACATCCCCACAACACATTGCTACTAGATCTGAAGCCTCTCATACACAATCTTCACTTCTCTCAGCGCTAACTACCCACCCCACACACACAAATGTTACTTCGTGCCAGAACACACACCTTCTTGCAAATGGCAGCTCTCAGCCTCTCATACAGGTAATTATGGCAGCTGCAGTGAGGCAGATATAGTGTGTTTGCTGAAAAGGTGTGGACTGGAATTTGAATGATTTGTGTTTAGAGTTGGGTCTGCTTAAGTGGGTTGATTATTTTTAAATGCATGTTGCGTTTTTGTTGTAACTGAATCTGAACAAAGTTTGACATTTAACATCCAGATATATATCTGAACAGGATGCTATTTGTCCCAACATAATACAATTAGATAATAATAATTTAATAATATTGTGTTTGTTTTTGCTGCAGGTTCCTCAGACCGCTTCGGTCAGCCATCCTGAGCCGGTCCTCACTGCTCATCCTGTCCAATCTGCTCAGCTCTCACAACCTGCAGTTCTCCCTCCACCTGTGCAGAATGAGACAGACCTGCACACAGCTACTGCTGCTACCCAGCTGGACAACATAAATCCGTGCCAGCTGCCCCCACAGAACCAAAGCCAGAGTCGGGTGCATAGCCAAATTCCTGTGCCGCAGTCTTCTGACTCACAGAGAGCTTCTTCTAAGTTTGATGCTTCGAGTTTTCCTCAGAAAACGCTCAATGCAGGAGCTACAGGCCAAGGTTCAGCAGAAATCAACCTGGAGGTATGAAAACATATGTTCATTTTTAGCTCGCTCAACATTTTCTGTCTGTTCAGCGTGCTACACAGAATACTGTCCTACTGACATGCAGCATTATTATACCATATAAATTCCTGCGACATTGTTGGCTAAAATGGAAAACGGTTTGTGCAACACTATTCTCCATTTCTCTATATAACGTATTCTCTTTCTTTTCATTTGTAGGATACAGTTGCAGAAAAGCACAGCGCAGGACAGAGCTGTGACAGGTGCAAACTTTACCTATTGGCTATGATACACACGTTTAATGTAACCTGGGTTTTAGGTGCTGATGAATGTGTAGAAATCATGCAAGGAACTTGTTTCTCACTGCATGAATAAAACTGGTGTCAAAACTGGCCATACCCCTTTTTATTACACATTTTAAAGCTTGGCATTAGCAAATATGTCGAAAAGCATCTTTTTAAATTGCATAGCTTACCCGGTGTCCCCCCCCCCCCCCCCCCCCCAAATGTTTTAAAAACTAATAACATTTAGGCATGTTTTGAACTTATTGAAGCACATTTTTGTGGTTTGTTAATGTGTATTGTGCGCGGGTGTGACCACAGCTCAGCACCATGTGTCTTTGGTGTTAAGCTTCCTGTACTCCATGAGCATTGTGCCTTTTCTTTCACAATGTCAGTGTCAACTCCGATGCCATGTCAGGAAGAGAGATGAGTGATGGTTGTGAAGGGACACATGGAAGCAAAGGGGATGGGAAGGTCCGCAAACACCGCAAAACCACACGCACCCGTTCCCGCCAGGAAAAACTCAACAGACCAAAGCTCAGCATGCTGAATGTGAGTGACCTAAATATTTTCCAAGTGTTTTTATAGCTCGTCTTTGACAAAGTTAATGACGTATGAGTTACGTTTGTCCTTGTTGCAGGTGTGTAACACAGGGGACAAGATGGTGGAGTGTCAGCTCGAGACTCACAACCATAAAATGGTAACGTTTAAGTTTGACCTGGATGGAGATGCACCAGAAGAAATTGCAACTTACATGGTATGTGAGAGGCAGAGGGGTACCACATCAATTGTTGCCAAGGCTTTTGAAGTCTGCTTGGCTCAGACGCTGTCCTACTGCTCAGAACAGAAAGTCCCTGTTGGTTTCAGCTGCAATGCAGCAGAAAATCTCTTGGCTGTCTCCGCTCTTTCTCTCTGGTCCGAAGCTCAACTTACGCATTCAGATATATTAATATTTAATGAGATAAATACTCCAACAACTTATTTTGGTTGATTGTATACATTTGTTTTGTGGCAGTTTTAGAACTACTTTTGGTGAAGGAATGAATGTTTAATTTACTCAGCTACAGATGTAAAAGTAGTCTTTTTATTTTTGTTTTTTATATTAGAAACCAGCATGAGGACAATGATCTTGTCCTCGTTGTACATGTTTTCCTTTACAGATTTATAACCACTGTTATTTAAGATGTTTACATTCAAATTATTATTTTTTTCCTTTAAGGTGGAAAATGATTTCATTCTGCCTCTGGAAAAAGAGGCCTTCATTGAACAACTGAAAGACATTGTGGACAAGGCTGAAGACATGCTGAGTGAGGGCCCAGAGGGTGAGAGGACCTCTGACCAGGGATGCAACCTTAAACCGACTGAAGGAACTGGTGCAGTGGGAGCAGAGGTGGGGAAAAAGCTGTTGACAGTTAATGTCTGCAAGGGTGCAATTTGTCTCTGAGTGCTTCTTGTAGGACACACACTCCATCCTCGCAGCACTCTCATCATGACTTTGCTGTGCTGCCAAAAATGTCCAGTCTTGCTGATGTGACATTTTCATCCAACTTTATCTCTTTTAGCTCGTTGGCTGTTTAGGGGAAACCTTTTTAAAAGGCTTACAAAATTAATCTACATGCAGTCAGTGAATCTATTATTTTTCCCCCCTTTTCCTCAAAGACTTCAGAACCAAGCACCCCACAGCTGGTCTATCAACAAAATGGTAAGATTTTGTAGTTGAGATTTAACTCAACTACTTGTCTTTGATTATGTTATTGTGATAGTAAGTAAAATACTTTAAAATGTTTTTAAAATCATCCGACAGTGTGATAAACTCTCCTGATAGTATTTTAGAGGATTTAGGAGTTTTTCTCTCTTATGTTTCTGAAAGTCCTTCACACTGGCAAGCGCTGGTTTATCATCTGCCCGGTCGATGAAACACCCATGCAGAGCAAAAAAAATACTTCAGCACACGCCTCTACAGCTCAGGGTATGTTTTGTTTGTATCTGTTTTCTTCAGAAGGATTTTATACTACATAGAATTGTAAATGTGTGCTCGTAATGACAAAGGTCAAGATTAGCTGGGTTATTTGAGACTAGCTCGCCGCTGTTGACATAAACATTCTTTGTGCATCTGAGCATGCCTCTGTGTGGCTCTTTCATTCAGGTCAGTTATATAAGAGTGCTTCTGCAGTGGTTCTGTGGAGAAGTGAAGTGCAGGATTTTATCCCTTCTGACTGAAAGGGGAAGATGAGCAGTGATGTAACGCTAACAGCCACAGCACCTAGTTCCTCTTCATGACCTTGATTGTTTAACACACCCACTGTTCTGTTTCTGATTAACGCTGTTCTCATTAATTCTGCAGAGTGTGAAAAGTCTGGCTCGTTTTCAGCAGTGTCCAACAGCAACACAGCTGCAGGAATGCCACCAGTCACATCTTTACCTTCCCAAAGCCCCCCCTCCGTCTCAGTGGAACCTGCCGTTCAGCAGACCCAGCCTGCTATGTCTAAACATACTCGTACAGCTGGGAACGTCGGATATAACTCCCTTCCTGTTGACGAACCCTGCATCACTGCTGTGTCTATGGTAGCAGATATGCCGTGCTGTGCCATTGTGCCACCTGTTTCTCTGGATGTTAATGCCATTGATAAAGGAGCAATGGCTGGTGCAGTGACCTCATCCCAAACCAGTCAGCCAAATAAGAAGGCTAGCTCCACTGAAGATCTACCTCCTCAGCTGGCCCGCAAACAGTCTGTGGTCCTGCAGCAGCCCTATGCCACACCCATGCAGCCTGGGACGGTGACCTCCCAGCCTCAGAGTCCCGCTCATCAAAACCCGCAGTCGTCGAGCCAGCAACAGTGTGGAGGGCAAGGCGAGTCGGACAGCGAGGGGCCCCGTAAGGTGGAGTTTGTGGACCGTACCATTAAGACTTTGGATGAGAAGCTCAGGAACTTGTTGTACCAGGAGCCTCCCCCCTCCCAACCCTCTGGTACCTCGTCTGAACCTCAAACCTCCAGCACTGAAAGACTGAGCTCTCCTCCAGTCTCAGATGGCCACAGTGCAGAGGGACCACTCACGAAGAAAAAGATGGAGCCACTGGTAAAACTCACTGATTGTGATTTAAAGTCTGGCAAAAGGAGCTATAATAATGCTAGAGACGTTTTCATGCTTTGTATCACTGATTTTACTTTTGGCTTCCATAAGCAAAGGTCGATACAGAGTTTAGAAACATGGGAGGCTAACAAAATCACAGCCATCACCATGACAACTCATTTTGATCTCCTCTCGTTGTAAGTGTGTGTAACCAAATCATCTCAGCTGTGACTCATGCTGGGGAGGATAATAGCTAGCCTCACCACACTGATTTGGTGTTTTCAGCATTGGATCACTTGCCACTACTTAAATTAATACACCCTCCTACACATGCACACAAACCCTTCTCTTCTCCTCCGTTAGCCCCAGATTCCTGAGCGAACAGATGGTGTGGGTGCATTAAGTGACTCGGCAGTGGCAGGTTGGTAGCTTTATTTACGTCCATTTTTATGACCACATAATAGTCGAAACATGCTTTTGTGTGATCTGAAAGTTTTTATTGATGTTTTAGCCTCCAGCAGGACAAAACAGAGCATAGAAGATGAGACAACCAACTCCAGTTCATGCAGCTCCAAAAGTCGTTTTCAAGTAAGAACCAGTTAAAGGACCTGTATCATGCTATTTTGCACCTTCCAGAGCAAAAATAGGCACAATATTAGATAAAATATTAGCATTGGCACTATATAAATGTCAAATACAAGTTATTTTTGTGAGCCGTTACTTCTACCGGGAAAGACGCTTGGATTCAATGAAATCCCGCCTCCACCGCAAGTTCACGCCATCATGTCCCACTCAGCGATTCAAGACTGGATGGGGAAGACGGCCGTGATGATGCAGCAACAACCCCATCCAGCTGAATGCAATAGCTTAGCAAAAATTTACAAAGCTGAAGGAAAGAAGCACCTGAGACAAGAAAATGCATGTGTGAAGCCAAAAAAACACGTTGTTGGTGTTTTACACGAGGAAGGAGCAACTCAACATGGTCAAAAGCTACAAATAAGTGGATTTTGCATGATCTAAGACATTCAAGAGAACCTGCTTTGACTGAGTTAAATTGTGTTAATCATGAATAATATGAGGTGGAATATTATTTTGGACTACTTATGTGAAACTTAAATTATTTCTGATGTGTTTATCTGTCTCCAGATCATCCCCGCCCCACCAGATGTCGTTTGCTGCTCTGAGAAGACGAGCTGCAGCACGTGCAGTTCCGCTGCTCCCTCTAGTGGTTCAGGAGGGTCCCACATCCAGAACAGGAAGGAGAGCAGCTGTGTGGCCGTAAGCAGGTCTGGGACAGCCGACGGTGAAAAGCCAGCAACATCTAAACCTAGTCGTTATTCTGCCCCACCAAACTTCTACCAAGCCACTCCCGGCTCCAGCCCCGATGCCAGCCCGCATCGCATCCTTCGAGCCCAAACTATTGATTCTTCTACTCATCACTCGTCTCACCTCTACTCTGACTCGGCTGATGAAGACAGCAGCAGCATGGCTCTTCCTCTGGCTAAACCTGTTCCTCCAGCCCACACCCCGTCCGAGCACAGTGGGAGTGACCTCGTCAAGAGGGCAGTGGCCTTCTTGAGACGCTCCGGTCGAAGCAAAAGCGAGCAGAGCTCCGACTCTCCGAGCCGCCTGACAGTGGCGATGAATGGTCACACTCCTTCCCCGTCTGCAGGAGACGTCCACTCCTCCTACATCAGCAGTGACAACGACTCTGAATTTGAAGATGCAGATATGAAAAAAGAACTGCAGAAACTTAGAGAAAAGTAAAGTAACTCATGCTTGCACTCACTAGCAAATACACATACTGTAATGAGAGACGTTTCATTCATAGAAAAAGGCTCATTATAGGTATGAGTCTGAACAGGGTAGAATGCCTTCTCTGGGTCAGGGATGAGGTCCTGCCGCGAGTGAGGGAAAGCTGGAGCGTGTGATCGACAGATGGATTGGTGCTGCATCTGCAGTGATGCGGCCGTTGTACCGATATGTCGTGAAGAGAGAGCTGAACCGGAAGGCAAAGCTTTCAATTTATCGGTCTGTCTACGCTCCTACCCTCAGCTATGGTCAAAAGCTTTGGGTAGTGATCGAAAGAATGAGATCGTGGATACAAGCGGACGAAATTGGTTTTCTCCGCAGGGTGGCTAGGCTCTCCCTTAGAGATAAGGGGAGAAGCTCGGTCATCCGGGAGGGGTTTGGAGTAGATCTGCTGCTCCTCGAGAGGAGCCAATTGAAGTGGTTCGGGCATCTGGTTCGGATGGGTCATAGTCGTAATGAACTTCATAAATATGCAGACATTTTATTTGTTGGGAAACCCTTGAAAGCATATTTGGCCCATTTTCCTAAAATTAAAAACTAAAGTATTCACCCAAAAATTCCTTTTCAGTCTTTCATGTTTATCTCTGGAGTATGAGGAATAGACAATTGATTTAACTTGTTACTGTCTTTATTTTGTCTTTCTTTTTTCTTTACTAGACATATGAAGGAGATCTCTGAGTTGCAGGCATTTCAGAGGAGTGAGATTGAACACCTGTACAAGGAGCTGGGAAAAGCGCTGCCACCCAGCGTTAGCCTGCTGCATGCTGTCCCCCCAACGGGTCGAAGGCGCAGGACCAGCAAACACAAGCTGAAAGCTGGAAAACTGCTCAATCCGATGGTGCAGCAGCTCAGAAATAACCTTAATGTCAGCACTGCTGAAAGAAAAGGTATGTGGGCTGAGACGAAGGGATTTTTGAGCATTTTTATTTGCCATCACACAATTTTTTTTGGAAAATGTTGGGATAGCATCAGGATTAGAAACTCATGCTTTTCCTTTTTTGGTTTTTAAATGAAGGTGAGAGTGGTGCCAGTTCATCCAGCTCCCCAGCAAAAAGCTCTCTTCTATCGGATGGTTCTGCCCACTCCAGTGGCAGCTCCAGCAGTCAGCCTGTTGCAGCACAAGAGCAGGTCCACACCCAGCAGCCCTGCTCCTTAAAAGGCTCCTTCTCCTCAGACAACATCTACGCTGGACAACATGCTGACGGATCGGCCAACCAGGCTGGTCCTGGCCAAGGTACTCTTATAGATTTGTGTGTGTGTGTGTGTGTGTGTGTGTGTGTGTGTGTGTGTGTGTGTGTGTGTGCGTGTGCGTGTGCGTGTGCGTGTGCGTGTGCGTGTGCGTGTGCGTGTGCGTGCGTGTGTGTGTGTGTGTGTGGAGAACTATAAGAGCGCCACACATACGGTTTTGCATTAGAACTGGTCAGCTGTCTCCCACAGCCATACAAAGTTAACATGAACACACACACATATACACAGAACATGCATTTACCATGAAAATTGTCACATGTTCACACCAGCCGCAAAGTTCAATAATGGCCCTTACACACTAGCATCCGCTCCACTCTGCCTGGACCGGGTTTCTTGAATTTTCCCATGCACAACCAGACGTCTTTTCAGCCCTGTTCACGAGGCGGTCTGCCTGGAGCCCAACAGGGTGGACACGCCCACTGTTGACTGATTGGCTGGCTCAAAATCATGCCTACCATTAGGCATCATTCTGGATGCTGTAGAGTTAACAAGCCTCTGACTGAAGCAGTTTTTCTCTGTCCCTCACTACTGTTAGGAACACACACACACACACACACACACACAAACAATGTTGCCAGGCACAGCAGAGCAGGATGCAAAATCAGTCGGAGTCTCCAAAAGCAAGACTCCTCAGCCCGCTTTTGTTTACTAATGGAGACAGTGCCGACTTCTCCACACTCTTTTGCCCCGCCCACGTGCTCGGAGATGCGCTCATGACATCACAGAACGGCCGTGTGCTCAATCACATCCGCATTCCTCAGGCACTGTGGAACGAGCTCAGCCAGGCTGAGGCAGGCGGGGCGGAGCGGCATGGAGTGGAGCTGATGCTAGTGTGTAAGTGGCATAAGACACCCCCTCACCCAAAAAACCATCACTAAAGAGGCTGGACTCCCCCAATCCACAGTTTGATCCACTTGGTTATTTGAAACCCTTCCACTGTCTGGGATATTTCTGTCTGTGGATTGGTGCTGTTCAAACTATTTAGAAATGGTTTTTCTCCTTTCCCCACCTGGTTAACATCAATAATGTTTTCTCCCCCTCTCTTCTCCCTTTTAACTATTTGTGCATGCCCTGATGCACTCCCACTAAGTAATGTGAGGCCAAGGCTTTGATCTTTCCTCCATAGATTAAACAATTTGCTCGCTTGCATTTGCTGTTCATCCCAGGGTCAAAACAGCTGAATTTAATTTCACTGTCCACACTCAGTGAGTTGTTGTTCCACCACCCCATAAGGATAGAGTTCTGGCTAGACGTGCTGAATAAAATGTAATATTCATACTAATATTGGGCCTTTCGTGTTTTTAGTAACACAAAATAGCTTAGAATAGTTGCTTTGGCATGTGTAGTTAGTACAATTTGTCCTCTGTGTCTTTTTCTGGTGCTTTTGATGGTGGGGGTTTCGCATACCATTCTCTGTGCACTTTTTCAAAGCGTCTCTCTTGTTTCTTCTCTTCTTCCCTTTTATATTGGTTCTTACAGGCTGGACGGTTTACCACCAAACGTCTGAGAGAGTCACCTATAAATCTAGTAGCAAACCACGCACTAGATTCCTCAGTGGACCTGTGTCTCTGTCCATCTGTTTGTATTTGTTCTATTCTATTTCCCTTTGCTCATTTCCATTTACTTTGGTTATTCTGCCTCTATCTTCACCCCTTTTATTTAAAGTTCTTTTACTGAATATTATTTTTCACCCTCCTCACCTGATTTACATCACCTAATTTAATTTACTCCAACCAATCACCTTTTACCTCAAAAATTATGTTCTGCATTTTGATTTTGAGAGCCAGAGGTAGTCGGTCCGATAAATATTTTATCTTAGCATGTGTAGTTAGTTTATATCTGTGAAATCATAAATCTGGCTGTAGGTGGAAACCCAAAACTGTGTGCAGCCAGGAAATGTTTGTATATCAGACAGCAAATGTCATCATAGTTCAGTGGTTCCCAACCTTGTTTCCTTTAAGCACCTCACAGAAACATCGCTCCCTCCTCCTTACATGCCTGTAAACGCTCCTCTGGGGGTATCCCAAGGCGTTCCATGGCTAGCCAAGAGACTTGATCCCTCCAACGTGTCTTGGGTCTTCTTTTAGGTCTCCTCCTGGTTGGATGTGCCCGGAAAACCTCATCAGGGAAGCGTCCAGTAAACAGATGTCCGAGCTACCTCAACTGGCTCCTCTCGATGTGGAGGAGCAGTGGATCTACTCTGAGCCCCTCCCGGATGACCGAGCTTTTAACCCTATCTCTAAGGGAGAGCTCAGACACCCTGCGAAGAAAATAATTTTGGCCGCTTGTGTCCGTAATCTCATCTTTTTTGTCACTACCCAAAGCTTGTGAGGGTAGGAATGTAGATTGACCAGTAAATCGAGAGCTTTGCCTTCCGGTTCAGCTCTCTCTTCACCACGACAGATTGGTACAGGGCTTGCGTCACTGCAGACTAATCCACCTATCGCTTCGTCTTTCCCTCGCTCATACTTAAATTCCTCCTCTTGGGGTAGGACCTCACCCCTGGCCTGGAGAAGGCATTCTACCCTTTTCTGACTTAGGACCATGGTTTCTGATTTAGAGGAACTGATTTTCATCCCAGCTGCTTCACCCTCAGCTGCGAACCACTCCAGCGAAAGCCAAAGATTACGTTCTGATGAAGCCAACAGGAACACATCATCTGCAAAAAGCAGAGACCTGATCCTTAGGCCTCCAAAACAGATCCCCTCAACACTACGGCTATGCCTAGAAATCTTGTCCACAAAAATTATGAACAGAATCGGTGACAAAGGGCAGCCTTGGCGGAGTCCAACAGTCATCAGAAACTAGCCTGACTTACTGCCGGCAATGCGGACCAAGCTCTGAAACTGGTTGTACATGGACCTAACATCTCGTATCAAAGGGCCTGGTACCCCATACTCCCAAAGTACCCCCCACAGAGCCTCCCGAGGGACACGGTCAAACTCCTTCACCAAATCCACCAAACGCATGCAGATTGGTTGGGCGAACACCCACACACCCTCCAGGACCCCCCCCCCCCCCCCCCCAAGGGTATAGAGCTGGTCCAGTGTTCCATGGCCAGGGCAAAATCCAAATTGTTCCTCCTAAATCCGAGGTTTGTTTTTCCTCTTATCAAAATACAAATTTTTACTTTATTATTTTCAGCTATTTAAACTCTGTAATCCCAGATTTACTTGTGAAAGGAAGTCTGTACATTTCTATCTCAATATTTCTGTCTTTGAAGTAGTAATTTAGTGTTCTATTATTTTGGACAGCAAAACAATTTTCATTAGTCTCACCTTGTTTGGGAACCACTGTTCTAGTTCACCTGCTACCAGATCTTGTAGCTTGGGTAGCAATGTCTGGTCACTATAATGTAGTTTGAAAACCTTTTAAAAAACTGTCAAAGGTTAGAAAGTAACATTTAACCTTAGTAATCAGATATTAAATCCTACATTTACTACAGTTAGTTGTGTTTTAGAATATTTAAAATAAACAGGCTCACGTTGACTCTCATTTTATAGTTAGGGTTAGGGTTCAGCTTCAGTCGTATCACCGAACAAGATGCAAACGTTCAATATCAGGTGGTTAGAATTAAGCCAAGGTAACATTTCTATGCTGCACTGCTAATTTAAAATTAGCTTTCTAACACTCAGGCTGTAGTTTTGAAAATTGAAATGAGTTATTTGGCAGCTGTATACATTGTTTTCCTCTGGCAATCATCATATCCATTTATCTGTGGGTACATTGCCGCCTCCTTCTCATACAGTTGCTTAAGGCAGTGCTTTTGGCTTACAAAAAATATACATATCACAAGTCCAAATGTGCTTGTGAATGGCTAGTCCTGTCCAAACATGGGCTTGAGGTCAGAACTAAAACAAGGCGGGTCTGTACCTGTGTGTTTGTGTTAGCGAGGGAGAAATTGCTAGTCTTTATACCCTATTAATTTCCCTTGTATTTCCATCTTCTGTTATTTTTGCTGTATGACATTGCCCAACTGAAGGCACTTTGCCCAGTCCTGCAGCCCCGTGTATTCTGAGAAAGTCCGTCAACCTGTCACTGCTCAGCAGGGCCTTTGCTCTTTCTGTCCCTCATGTTTGGATGGAGAAGACGTGCATGACGCAGGCGTCAAACAGGGCGCTGATGGAGACATGCTTCACCACATCAAGGGCTGTATCATGATATTGCTTATTTTCTCCTCCTCTTGACTTCTCCTGAGTTATTTGCATGTTTTTAGTGCTGACTCTGAAAGGTTCCTGTGTCTGTTTAGCCCTTCTAGTTTGCAACGCCGTATTTGTTTTGTTTCACAGGCTTTCTCACAAGGACAGTGATATTGTTAAAGCAGTTTTTTTCTCACACTTTTATCCACTTTCAATTTGTAAATCGCATTATAAAGACTGTCAACCAGTAAACACAGAAATTAGTTTTACGTTAATCTTAAAGCTTTGCTATTTTCCCCAATTACCCTGTTTTAAAAGGAGACCATGGCTCGCTCCTCTTTGTCCTACAGATTTTTATTAAAACCCCTTTGTCTTCTTTCTCTCTCCCTGATTGTTTTAATAGCTGAATGTGCTTTTGAAGCAGCTTGTCCACATTCTTGTGGTGTGAAATGTGTCCTGGCCTAACTGTTTCTGTCTTGTGCTGTTTTACCTCCTTGTAGGGTCCACTCTGAAACGACTATGTCTAGGCAAAGAGCGCAGTAGTAGTAACTATCTAATTTACTTCTGTTTTTCTAACTCCATCCTCAGAACTTTAGGCCTTATGTTTGTTTGTTCCTTTGTCCTTGTTACCGTTTTGGTAGTTTAGAAATATATTTGTTTAGGACATGGGCACTAAAACTACAGATTGTTGCACTCTTTGTTTTGCATGGCATTCATTTTTGATTGTGGATTTTGTCACTGCTTGCAAATCAGACATTTTATTTTAACTGTTTTCATTTTTGTAGTTATTTATATTGTGATCATTTGGCTGCTGGGTTTGCAGAATATGTCTGATGTGACTTTATACGCATTCGGGTTTGGCCTCACCAAATGCTATGTAGTTTCTGTGGTCGTGACTTAAGTCTTACCCATCTTAATTTCTATCATTTTGCAGCCAATTGATGACAGTTGATGTCAGGGTTTTTTTTTTTCATCCAGAAAGATTTGTAAGAGCAGTTTGTTTTTCAGGGTCCTCTCTCAACACCACCGCAGCACAGACGGCCTCCAGTCAGATGCAGCCACCTCTCACTGCAGCAGCAGCAGCATCGTCCCAGCCATTCACCCGGCTCGCTCAGGTCCAGACCAACAACAGCAACAACAAGAGAGGCATGTTTACGGAGGATCTTCACAAACTGGTGGACGACTGGACAAAGGAGACTGTTGCAGCGGCCAGTCAGTCAAGACCCTCCCTGAACCAGATGAAACCGCAGAGGCACCCGCAAGGCACTGAGAGCAGGCAGCCACTGAGGGGAGCAGTTGCATGTGAGGTATTTGGATTTGAGATGCGGGAAAGTGTTGTGGGGAGGGGTGTGTGGGTGTAAAGTCTTCACGCTGACATTTAGTGTTTGCTATTTCCTTTTAGGTGTCTGCTGCACTCTAACATTGCATTAGAGGCCTCGTTCACTTGTTTTTTTTCTAATTAGCTGTCATAGCTAGTATCATGAAATACCTTGTGATTCATTTTTGATTGGAAAAATAAGTTTTGTGCTCCTGTTTCATGATGTAGAAGTTTGGCGGAGTGGGGAGGTGGAAAACGGCAGGATTACGATTCTTACTCATTAATCGGGATGTAAGAAAATATCGATACGCTGAATGATTGCAGTATTTTGTGTTATGATATAGTGAATCAATATTTAACTCAGTGTAGCAATTCTTATTAGTATAGTGTCTTCTAGAGTTCCATAACCCCCCAAGGTGCTTTACAACACATCAGTCATTCAGGCATTCATGCATGCATTTACATACTGGTGGTGATGAGCCACAATGCAGCCACAGCTGCCCCAGGACAAGCTGACATATACAGGTGCCACTGATCCCTCTGACCTCTCATGAAGGCAAGAAGTGTCTAGGCCAAGGACATGACTACAACAGACTGAGCAGGGTATAAACCTGCAACCCTCTGGTTAGGGAACTGGCTTTTTTAAAGGAACGTCCTATCATCTGTATGCAGATGACATCCAACTGTACATCTCCTTTAAGCCCCATGTGATGTCTAAGCTGCAGCTGTTACACATCTGCTTAGACTCTATCAAAACCTGGATGGTGGGAGCTTTCTACAGCTGAATGAAGATGAGCAGAGGTGTGACATTGTGGCATCATCAAGTCATCTCCAGTCATGTTTTTGTTCTGCTCAGCAATTAAACCAGGTGATTTCAATCAGCACAGTGAATCAACCTGGTTCAGTTGCTGAGCAGAACAAAAACATGACTGGAGATGACTTGATGATCCTCTGAAGATAAGACTGAGATCCTCATCTTTGCCCCAGACAAGCTGGTTCCCAAAGTCAGAGACTCTCTTGGTCAGCTTTCTTATCACACCAAACTCTCTTTCAGGAATCTTGGCGTGACCTTTGACCCAGCCCTCACCCTGGATTCTCATGTCAGTTCTCTTATTCACTCTTCCTTCATCCATCTCAGGAACATTGCAAAGCTGAGTCCCATTCTGAACCTGAGACAGTTCTCCACACCTTCATCTCCTCACACTTAGGCTACTGCAACTCTCTTTTCACGTGTCTGAGCAGAACCTCCCTGAACCGTCTACAAGTGGTTCAGAATGCCTGTGCTCGGCTTCTGACCAGGGCCTTACAAGAACAAACACATCATACATTGGTGATCTACTCAGTTACTACACCCCCAGCAGGTCCCTGAGGTCCAGTGATCAAAGCCTACCAGGCTAAAGACCAAAGGTGACAGATCATTTGCTGCTGTGGCCCCCAGACTCTGCATCTCTCGCCCCCTAAGCCTGAGATTAGTGGACTCAGTGGTCTCCTTTAAAAAGCAGCTGAAGACTCATCTGTTCAGACTGGCTTTGGTTATGGCTTCTGGTGATTCTTCCTCGCTACCCATTTACATGCTGCTGTCTCTACCATTTCTGCCTTCCTTGGGATCCTGTATTACCTGTTTCTTGTTCATTTTTGTCCTCATTTTTCAGTTTAAATTTGATTTATTTTTGTTCTTGTGAAGCTCCTTGTGATTTTGAGAGGCACTATATAAAAAATAATTTCTTCTTAACTCCTCTGCCACCATCGCCTCTACAAATTTAAGAGCAAACATTTACTTCATTTCTTTTGTGTGGCTTAATACAAACTGTGAGTCTTAAGCCCGGACTACACTGTGTGTTTTTCGGCCGACCTAGACAGATCGTTCTTTGTGAACATAGTTGTGACAAACTGTGAACTTTGGGGTGATTTGCAAGTTTGTGGTCATCCAGTGTGACCGGCTCTGCAACAGCTTATTGAGCAACCTCGCAACCAAAGTCAGCCTTCAACAGTCTTCAAGCACTGCTTGAAAACCTACGACTCGCCTGCAGTCGGCCAGGGATTGACGCAAACAACTAGTGACGAGAGTACAATATGAGAGTAGTATTGGCAACAGTGGAAGCTACACGTAGGAACAGTCAGACCCCTCCAATACACACTCTACTCATTAATCTTCATGATACGTGAACACCTCTCCTCTGACTGGCCAACAGCAAATTCACTCTTCCGCCGCCTCTGTTCTCTTTGCTTTCTTGGGTAAAAACTGCAACGTTGATGTGTTATCGCCACAAATAACATAAGCCTGAATGTGTTCTGCCATTTTGTGGAGTTGCTAATACTAATGCTTAGCTTCTACTAGCTGAGATGAGCTCTGCTCTCTCCTGGCTGCTAAATCAACACAACCTTCCTGTGGTTGAAAGGCAAGGATGAGTCCATAAATGCTCATTTTCCCTGTGACATAGAAGAGAGTGGCATTTTCTGACTCAGCCATTTTCTTGTCTATTTTCTTACTGCAGCAAATGCAGACAATGGGGGTTGAAGAAAGGTTTCACATTCAGCATGCATTATCAACTCAGAATTTCTCTGTGAAAGAGACCTTTGAAGGTATTGAGTTGTGGGACGTCTCTGTTTTTAAGGGCTTAAATGATGTGAAGCTGCAGGTGCCTTCAAAGTAAAGCATGGTTTTAAATGGTTTCAGGTTGATAACTGGCCTGGCTCGTGTATATTCAAGTACTTGGTGACTGGATCAATACAATAATCAATTACCAAATTATCCAGTGACTGCTGCCTAATATTTATTTTTTAGTTCAAGTGTATAAAAATACTTGATTGGACACTAAGATGCAAACCAACATTAACATTTACATAAATAGTTTAGTTAACTTTTTTAACATTATGGGAGAAGATTGTTCATTTTACTGGGTATTCTCCTCAAAATTACACCCTCTTACACTGTCATGAGCTGTCTGTCACTGGCAGTTGAGTAGTCTTTGTCGTGTTAACCCCAGATTGACAGATTCTTGATGTAAAACTGTCCTTCGTTGTAAACTGTGGGTGACGTTGGCACAGGAGTTGTGTTCGCTCTGTAATCTGAAGGTTGCAGGTTCAAGTCCCGCTCAGTCTGTTGTGTCCTTGGGCAAGACTTTTAACCCACCTTCCCTGCAGGTGGTGTTCAGAGGAACCGGTGGTGCCTGTGTACGGCAGACTCGTCTCTGTCAGTGTGCCCCAGGGCAGCTGTGGCTACATTGTAGCTCATCTCCACCAGGGTGTGAATGTGTGAATGAGCACCTTGGTGGGTCCCAAGACTCTAGAAGGCACTATATCAAATACAGGCCATTTACCATTAACTGTGTGAAGTTCTCAGTACATTTAAGTCAGTCTTTTTGCATGATTTTCTACAACTCCCTCCTCCTATTCCAGGTGAAATGCCATGTTACCAACAAGTTCCACCTGCCTCTCTCATGCCCAGCAACTTCAGCTGTGGGCCCAGCAACTGCAGCTGTGGGTCTTGGTGTGCCTGCAGCCCCGGCGCCAGCCTCCTCAGCAGGGATGCCTCCTGGTTTTCTTGTACCGACGGGCTCCTATAATGGAATGGTTCCCCGTACTCTTTATCCTCAGCGGTGGCCTGGTGTGACTTGTCCTGTGGGGATGATTGGTGCTCCAAGAGTGATGTCGTATGCAGCGATGGCTAACCCAGGGATCCAACCCTTTCCTTTTGTCATGAACAACTCCAAAAATGGCCCCTGTCCAAACACCACGAGGACTACATGATCTGATAACAAATTCCTGTTTGTGTCTTCAGGCTTGTCCATCTTGGCTTCGCAAGAGCCCTATATGTACATAGTCTGATCTTATAAAGAACATGCTTAAGTGTTATTCTTTACACAACGTGTGTGTGTGTGTGTGTGTGTGTGTGTGTGTGTGTGTGTGTGTGTGTGTGTGTGTGTGTGTGTGTGTGTGTGTGTGTGTGTGTGTGTGTGTGTGTGTGTGTGTGTGTGTGATGTCTGAATACCTTGTGATTTTTGGCTTTGTTCCTACATAAAATTTGTCAGTGTGTGTCCTATCTGGTCACTACAGCTAAATTCACACGGTTGTCAGTTGCTTCTGTTTTAACTTTAGGTTTTATCTATTACACTACTTTGGGATCCAACACTAGTGTTTTCAGATTAAGGAACAGAAATTAATTCATGATTAAAATATTTGCAGGAGTGCAGTGCCTTGAACATGGGTTAATATGTGTATTTCCTTCTTTAAAGCAGAACATTTCTACATTCAAGTTCTTTTGAAAGTATGGTTTTTGTTTTTAATGCCAATTAATCATTTTTGTTTACATGTAAATGCCCTTCTAAAACTGCACTATTACTACAGTATATATACTTTTATTTACACAACAGAAATATGTTTCAACTTGTGTTTACTTTCCACCCCTTTGACCAATGGAATGCCATCTAGATGAGATGTTCTGATGCCTTGCATAAACAATTATTTGGACTGAAACGGTTACTGGAATGAATACTTGCCAGCAGCCAAAAACAACTGGTTCCGGTCAAATGGTTCAGTGGGACAGAGCCTCGTTTTGATTGGATGCGCATGAGCTGGCAGTGTTATAGGGGATGGGGAGTGTTCAGAGCCATATATACTGTACATAATCATTTTTTACAGTAGATGCCTCTGGTTGTGTTTTGATCAGAATGTAGCAAAACCATGTGAAAGCTTGAGGCCTAAAAGTGCAATTTAACCCCTTTTCATAGAGCTTTGACTGTGGCCTTGGCACAAGCCTTATCTGTGATGTGTGCAACAGGAGAACACTGAAATGTTAAAGTTCCAAGTCCAAGCAAGAGACAGAAGTTACCAGGCAAAGTATAATTACTACAAACCACCTATCTGACTCTTTCAAAAGTTCTTTCAACTTGGCTAATACTCGGTGCACACTTATGTAAAAGGTTTTGTGCAATCACCCATTAAATTGGATGTTTTTTCCTTTTGTGATTTGTTGTTTTAATGCTGCACTTTACCAAGGTATTACAGTTGTGCATTTTGTTCCCATATGATGGTACAAAATACTAGTTTTCAATGTAGCAAAGAAGTGTTATTGCCTTGCTACAAGATGTGTTGATTATTTTATGAGCTGTTTGTGACGATAGCCTAACCTGTTTTATTTTGCATTTATTTTCAACATTGTATTGTGAAATTAACATGAAACTTGATGTGGGAGATTTGCACAACATATTGTCTCCATTTATTCTGTTGGGAGTTCCTTCACTGTATATAACAGGTTTCACCAAACTGTACTTTTTACCACTGACAAGCATGGCCAATATTTTCATGATCCGCAAAGCATAGGAACAGGAAAAGTGTTAAAAGTTTCAAGATCTCACATCTTCACCACACAAATGATTTCAGCATCCCAGTCCTGCCAAAGCTGTGACCTGTATAGCTTGTAGTATTTGTACATTTTATTTTGACTGTTGGAAGATAGCATTTGTGGAGCCGGGGTCACTTTATTGTATATTATTCCATCAATTCGGTTTGAATTGGACTTTTATAGGATATTATGCAGAGTCTTCTGCTTTGGTGAAATATTTCCAATTGTAAGAGATTTCTGTTCTCTGTAACTTGTATCTGGTATGTTCCACTTTTCCTAGCTGCTAACTGGTTGGAGAGCAGAGGAGGAAATGATGAATGCAGGCATATTCATTTGGATGTAGTGATCATACGGAGAGCTGTAATGAGCGGAGGAGGAGCATTTCTGACACTGTTCCTCTGCACACCTCACTCCTTTTTGGAAATCATTGTCCTTATGATTATGCTCTGATTATCTTTGGCTGGTATTTAAACTGTGTGGGTTGCTTTTGCCTGCTTACCCCACTTTGTCCTGCTGCATTCTTATCACAAACTGTATGTTGAGAGAGAGAAATAAATATTTTGTGCTTGATGGTTTTGATTAATTATTGTGTGCACACCATTAGTGTAGCTGTTAGTCAATGCCGTTATAATTTGACAGCAGGAAGTCGTATCTTATTTACCTCTTCGCAGTTTTGATTTCATTGAATAAAACGATTTACACACTTTTTATTTTAAGTAAAGTTTAAACAATAAATTTCTGAGTAAAGGAAGATGATCATCTTTGATGGACAGACTCGTATACAGAATGATACTGGACCAAATTTGGAGTTTAATTTGTAACATTAACTACAACTTGTGTAAGAAAAGACAAATTAAAACTGAAAATTAGAGCCTGTGAATTACTTTCACCAAATCACTAATGAAGTGTAGGCAGACCAGAGAAGCCCTTAGGTTGGATGGTGATTTTGTGGAGCCGCCCACTCTACTTCTAACAACCAATCACGTAGCGTATTCAAATCCAAGCACCAATCAGAGCAGAGAGTTCAGCCCACTGCGTCCCTCCGTCTGATCCAATCTAAAAGCAGTCAAGCAAGCCTGTTTTGCGTGGCGAATGTGTCAATCCGCCTCCACGGCTAAGCGTTACAGTAATGGTTGCCCCTTTTGTTCAGCCGATTTACTAAATTATTCCCCACACAATGAAATTATATGGACGCGAAATTGTTCCATGAAAACGTTTCAATGTACCTATGCTTTCCGTGGCCTCATCTGGGACTATCTAATGAATTAAAATCGATCTGCAAGCCGTCTGAGCTGCTGTCTGAGGTGTCCGATGCGCGCAGTTTGCTTGAGGAACGTGCAGTAGTAAGTGTTTATAACGTTAGTAGCCGGGATATGTAGTGCTATTTACTAAATGGTTGCATTTGCGCATATATTGACATTCGGGAAATGTGAGAAGACACGATTCTGTGGTTGTTGTAATCCACCATAATAGCCCAATGTGTCCAGAAAACAAAGTGACGTTGGTGCAAAATAAGCGCTACAAAAACAAATAGCTGTATAGTAGTGACCTAACGTAAATGGTTCTTAGTTAAATTTGGTCAAAAATACCGTTTTCCTGTGGCAAAGCCTATAAAATAATAATGTTACGCTCTTATTTTGCTACCTTGTGTATGGAATCCACAGGGTGAGGTCAATATGGAGGGAAACGCTGGCTCTGAATAATTAATCAAACTGCAGTCTGTCTAACTTAAAAACATTAATTGGGTCATTTTATTTTCATATCAGTTGTATCAAAATGCGTTGTAGCGCTAACATAACATCTGCCTTTGTTTAGCTAACATTTGAGCACAGCTATAGTTCAACATTATCAACAAAATGGTACACCGGGTTAATATTATTACGGATAAAAGAATCCTCGATAAGAAAAATAATGTTTTGTGGCCTCGTGTTTGTGGAAACCTTGTTATTTGTGCTGTGTAGTTTGAAAAGGGACCAAATGTTGTTTACTAGCTGTTGTTAGCATGCTAGCTAATTGCGCCAGCTACAGTCATTGTTTGGGGGAAGCATGCTAACGTTAGCTGAACTAAAAGCATTATGTTTGAAGAGTTCCCTGCTAGCTAGCTATCATATATCCCTCTCTCTCACTCTGTCTATTTCTACATTTGCAGTCTTATTTGTTTTATTCGATTACTCCAAACATGACAGAAATTCGTTAGGATGTTGTCTTAAAGTGCACCTGTTAGTGGGTTCATATATTTCCCTCTGGGAATTGTGTTCACATTTTATCCATTTACAGAAATATCCCAACAGCACTGTAGGGACACGTTATTACAAGTTACATGCGTGGAGCAATGCCATTCAAACAAAACTGATCTTACATGAAATTATCGTTAAATACTGTGGGTCATTATTGCATGGAACTATTTAGATAAAAATATTTTCTGTTGTGCTTGTTTTGTTTTGTCTAGTGTAAAACCCTTTCCCATAAGTGATTTTTACTCACATTTGTCTCTTCAGCCTGGCAGAGTGAATATTACATTTTTCTCCAAAAGATTTAGTAGAATGAAGAGTTTAAATGCATGTATTTAATACGCAAGTAATTAAATTGTGTAAAAGCAGATAACTACTCTCAGAACTCTTAAGTAATTTTGTAGTTTAAACCCACAGCTTTTAATTTCTTGTCTCCTCATTGTTCCCACTTGTGTTCTATTCCAGATGTAAAGTTAAACCACACCTGGCCCTGAAGAGGCTGCTGGCGAGATGGGACTAGATTTTGATGTGAAGACATTCTGTCACAATCTGCGAGCCACCAAGCCGCCGTATGAGTGCCCTGTGGAGACTTGCCGGAAAGTCTACAGGAGCTTCAGTGGCATTGAGTATCACCTGTACCATTACGACCACGACAATCCAACCCCTGCTCAGGCCATGCCCCAGAAGAAGAGAAAAGGACGGCCTCCTCGTGCCTCCCTGGCTGGCTCAGGGGATACGGATGATGGTGGCGGCAATGGAGGACCTGGTCTTGAAGGGACCACGCCAGGTAGCCCCAACCGGTCAGAGCACTCCCAGTCCCCTGGAAGAGATGCCATGACCTATGCCCAGACGCAGCGCATGGTGGAACTAGAAATCCAGGGACGCATTCACCGCATTAACATCTTTGACGACATTGATGTGGTTTCAGAGGAAGACAGTGATGCAGAGGATGCACCACCGTCGGGAACTGGTAGCTGTGGGGGAGGGGTGTGTAACGGTAGTGACAGTGGAGCCGGAGGCAGCGAAATAGGAGGAAGCGGTAAAGACCGTTCAGAAATTCCGTCCTCAAATGGTGGAAAGGCCACCCCAAAGACTGGGAAGCACAAGAGTAAAGATAAGAAGAAGGATGGTTTATCTCACCATCACAACCCTCAATCTGGTCTTGCAGTCAAGCTCCCAGAAGCCGTGTTCAGAGAGCTGGACCAAGAGAGGCCCGATGCCCCACCCCGGCCTTTATCCTACTACAGGTTTAGGACTAAAATGATTATTTCATTTTATACTTGTTGTTTTGTTTACTTATATGAAAAAGTTCTGTAATATTGTCTTTCTACTGTGTTTTATTAGAAAGCTTCACTTCTCTATTTGACTCCTTTGTCTTTTTGTTATGTAAACTTGGACTTCAGGTATATTGAGAAGTCTGTGGAGGAGCTGGATGAAGAGGTGGAGTATGACATGGATGAGGAGGACTACATCTGGCTCGGCATCATGAATGACAAACGGCGACGTGACAGCGTGACGCCCATCCCTCAGGAGGTCTTTGAATACCTCATGGACCGCTTAGAGAAGGAGTCCTACTTTGAGAGCCACAACAAGGTACCTGTACTTATCTGTAGGGGCAAGAATAGTTCACTCACTGTAACGTAGCTGTTGACTGATGCATTCTGTTACTCCTCCCCTCAGGCAGACCCTAGCACCTTGATTGACGAGGACGCCGTCTGCTGCATCTGTAATGACGGCGAATGCCAGAATAGCAATGTAATTCTGTTTTGTGACATGTGTAACTTGGCCGTGCACCAAGAGTGCTACGGGGTGCCCTACATCCCAGAGGGTCAGTGGTTGTGTCGGCGCTGCCTTCAGTCACCCAGCAGAGCTGTGGACTGTGCTCTGTGTCCTAACAAAGGAGGAGCTTTCAAACAGACAGACGATGGACGCTGGGCTCATGTAGTGTGTGCCCTCTGGATCCCGGAGGTAAAAGCATACACTACTACTTACATCCAATTTGTCCTTTCTTTTTTATTTAGTCATTTAAGTAACGTTTGCTGCCATTTCTCAGGTCTGCTTCGCTAACACAGTCTTTTTGGAGCCGATTGATAGCATCGAGCACATCCCTCCTGCACGCTGGAAGCTCACCTGCTACATCTGCAAACAGCGCGGCTCAGGCGCCTGCATCCAGTGTCACAAAGCTAACTGTTACACAGCGTTCCACGTCACCTGCGCTCAGCAGGCGGGGCTCTATATGAAGATGGAGCCTGTCAGGGAGACCGGGGCAAATGGGACCTCCTTTAGCGTCCGCAAGACGGCATACTGTGACATCCACACTCCCCCAGGATCCGCCCGACCTTTAGGAGGAGTGGGCGGTGCCAGCATGGGGTCGTCTAACAGCGAAGGGGAGCTGGAGGACGACGATGAGCCCAGCCTTGGCCAGGACGAAGACTCCAAGGGGTGGAGTTCTGAACGAGCCAAGAGGGCAAAGGCCAAATCCAGGCTGAAGATGAAAAGAGCAAGGAAGATCTTAGCAGAGAGGAGAGCCGCTGCCCCAGTGGTCTCAGTGCCGTGTATTCCTCCCCACAGGTAGGTGTGTTTTAATAAAAGCATCTTTTGTAGTATATGCAGTTGATAAATTATACAAACAAAATAACTTTCTCAAGTGAGATACACTTTAAAGCGGTGTTTACTTTTCTCCAGGCTCAGCAAAATCACTAGTAACTTGACGGTACCCAGAAAAGGTCAGTTCATGCAGAGGCTTCACAGCTACTGGACGTTGAAGAGGCAAAGTCGAAACGGCGTGCCCCTTCTGCGCCGGCTTCAAACCCACCTGCCCTCACAGCGGCACGCAGACCCACTTCCTCCACAGCCCTCAGCACAGCTCCCTCCGGTTAGTTCAATCTTTACGTTTGCCCTAGTTTTGATTCAGCCTAACCACTTAAGCACCTTCTGCCTGCATATATTGATGTGTTTGTGTGCATGTTACAGAGGGACAGCAAGGAGAAACAGAGCGCTTTAAAAGAGCAGCTGAAGGCATGGCAGAGACTGAGGCATGACCTGGAGAGAGCGCGGCTGCTGGTGGAGCTCATCCGCAAGAGGGAGAAACTCAAGAGGGAGACGGTGAGTAGTTCATTTCTGTCCGTTGAACCGAATCAGTTGTTCAATGTTACGATGTGTTTTTGTTTAGATTAAAGTACAGCAGATGGCGCTAGAGATGCAGCTGACTCCCTTTCTGGTGCTTCTGAGGAGTACGCTGGTGCAGCTACAGGATAGAGACACAAACAACTTTTTCACTGAGCCCGTTCCCCTAGAAGAGGTAAAAGAATGTGGTTACAAACCCATAAGATTTGTCTCCTTTTATCCATTATAATCCTTCAGGCTGAAGATGTAGGGCTGGTAGTGAAAGCTCGGCTCAGGTCATTCCTCTTGTCTGAGTGTGATCTCTCTCCTTCAGGTACCAGACTACCTGGAGCACATCGACACTCCCATGGACTTTCAGACGATGTGGAACCTGCTGGAGTCCCATCGCTACCTCACGTTTGAGGCCTTCGAGGCCGACTTCGGCCTCATTGTCAACAACTGTCTCAAGTACAACGCCAAGGACACCGTGTTCTACCGTGCCGCCCTGCGGCTCAGAGAGATGGGCGCGCTGGTCCTCAGAGCAGCCAGGCGCCAGGCCGAACGGATTGGCTTCGACTACGAGACGGGTCTGCACCTCCACCGAGACTCGAGCCCAGAAAGTCGGCGAGAACATGAGAGAGAGAGGGAACGAGAGAGGGAGAGGGAAAGGGAACAAGACAGAGACCATCAGTTGTCCTCAAATGAAGAGGGTAAGTGTTATTTTGAATATTTGTGTATATTTGTCATCAGAATGGTTTTGTTGTGCGCAGACAACTAGAATAATGTAATGGATTAATATGCTGTTTTAGGAATTGTTGGTTTTATTTATCGGGATTTCTAGTCAGACTTTACATGAAATTAAAATCAATTTTTTATTTAATTTTTTTGCCTGTATGCAGTGTTGTCGAACACAAAACAAAGCACTTATTTTGCACTAAGTAGGATTCAGAGTGGAATAAATATAAATTTCCTCCAGCAGGTGGCGCCTCTGTCTTTCAGTACATCTCTCTGAGCAGTGTTTCCTAACTCTGGTTCTCAAGGCACACTGTCCTGCATGTTTTCCTTGTTGCCCTTTTAAACACCAGTGTTTCCCTGCTGCCACACACGACTTCAATGAGTGTTAAACAGGCATCTGCAGCACTTGATGTCCTCCTGAGGAAGCAATGTAAATCAGGTGTGCTGAAGCAGAGACGTGAGAAACATGCAGGTCAGTGTGCCCTGAGCACCAGGGTTGGGAAACACTGCTGTTAACTACTTTGCTTCTTATTCCCACCATCTTCCCATATTGGTATTCCCTGAAAATGTTCCTGTTCTAAGTTTGTTCACGGAGAACCCCCTTCCCGCTCATACAGACACCGGAGAGACGCTGCACTCCACCAGCAGCCCCCTCCCGATCACACACGCCCCTCTAATTTTAATTCCAAAACTTGACAGGATGTCCAGACAGAACTCTGAATCTTTCTGTCATCACCTCTCCTCAGGAACGTCTCCTCTGCTGACTTGGTGATGCAGGAGGCAGATTTAATGCAACATGACCGTTCAGACTGAAGTCGTTTTCAAAAACATCCGATATGTATTGGATTTAGTACCACATATGAAAGTGACCTGGATAGTATTTGAAAAAATCAGATCTGTATGGTTCAGACTGTCACAACAAGTCTAATACTGGTCGCATGTCTGGAAAAGAAAATCTGATTTGATGCTCTTTTACCTGCAGTGTGAACGTAACCCAGTTTCTGGGTCACTGAATACCCATGACCTGATCATATGGCTCTAGATACCGTGGGTGATAAAGCATAAAGGAACCAGTTGCTCACTAATGACAAGGTTTCTAGTTCAGCCCACACCCACTTTAAAAGCTCACATGCCTGAAACACAGTAAACCCTCTGAACAGCTGTTCTGTGTGAACGACAAAAACATTTTAACCTCGACAAGTAAAATAAAAGTTCTATACAGTTGCAGAATGAAATGGAAAATAGCAACCTTGTTTGCCTTTATTGTTTTTTCTAATGAACGTGTGTTTAAGTGTTGATCCTTCTGCCGCTCAGACCTGCTTTTGCCAGAGAACCGGCGGCGGCTGCCACTGGACGAGCAGCTGCATTACCTGCAGGCGCGTCTGGATGAGGTGAACTCAGGGAAGCACAGTATTGGTCAGTCCCGCAGAGCTAAGGCCCTGAGAAAGGAAATCAGCGTGATAAGGAGGAAGATTGCACACCAACGAGAAGGAAGCTCCCTCATGGGAGTCCGGGACTCAGCAGGAGAACGGTGTCCATCTCTCCCACATCACTCTTCCTCTGCAGGACATCACGATGAGGGCGGCGAGAGCAGCAGCCAGGAGATCGGTGGGAAGGGTGTGTCTAAGAACATCTATTAATGTTGTTTATGTGCTGCGCAGGAAGGATCAATCATAAACATAATGAGCCTCTCAGAATCTAAGAGTCCTCGTCTGCTCTAGCTCCAGAGGTTGGCCGTCGGACATCTGTTCTCTTCTCCAAGAAGAACCCAAAAATGTCTGGACCTCCCAAAAGGCCAGGACGCCCACCAAAGAACCGGGACCTTAGCTACGGCGGAGCAGGAGTGAGCCAGAGCCCCATCGGCCCCCCACAGCTACCCATGTTATCAGGCAGGCAGAGGAAGAGGCCCCGCAGCCCCCACACCACCTCCAGCTCTGATAGCGACAGCGACAACGATGACCTGCTGCCAGGTTCAGATGACGGCGATTTAATATGCACAAATACTAAAAACAACCTTCAGTTTGAATCACACAATGACTCTTTTTCCATCTGTGCTCCCCCCTCCCCCTCCTCAGGTTTACCAAGCAATGGTTTTGATACAGGAAACCAACCAGTAACCGAAAGCTTCCGTGTGTACAGAAATGAGCCTCGTCTGCCTCGCTCCAGCTCTGACTCTGAGTCCACAACCAGCAGCAGCAGCAGCGCGGCGTCTGACAGAACCAGGTGATTCCTGTCACCGCCGAATCTACGCAGAAAGTGAAAAGCATTACAATCAGTGACAACACTTATATTTATGGAGTATGTACACTGAACAAAAATACAAACACTTTTGTTTCTGCTCCCATTTTTCATGAGCTGACTGGTTTTCTGTCCTACCACCCCCCATAAAGCAAAACTGTGCACATGTCAGGGTGTCCTTTTATTGTGGGCAGTCTAAGGCACACCTGTACATTATTCATGCTGTCTAATCAGCTCCTTGATATTCCACACCTGTGAGGTGGGATGGATTATCTTGGTAAAGGAAACATGCTCACTAACATGTGTGGACCGATTTTAAAACAATATTTGAGTCATGGGTCTTTTGTGCATATAGATAAAGTTTCAGATGTTTGAGTTCAGCTCATGAAAAATGAGAGCAAAAACAAAAGTGTTGAGTTTATATTTTTGTTCTGTGTAATAGCTACTGATGACATCACAATGGTGGTCCAGTCTGCTCTTAAAGATGAGAATTAGGACCTATTCACCACTGTGGATGTGATGTTTTTCTTTTAGAGTCAGTTTATGAATCTGGTCTGCTTCCTTTGCCTTAGAAGGATCGGGCATGGCCCATGTGGATTTTTATTTTTTATTTTCAGTGACAACATTTTTCCTAATTAATCAACCTGTAGTTCTATCTGCAGAACATGTTTGGTTTTTGAAGAAATGCTGTGCTGAAATTCATCCTCAGCGTTTAAACCGACAACACGTTAACTGTTTTAAATGCAAATGTCTACCGCCCCAGCACAACACCTTCAAAGCAAGGGAGAGGAAAGGCTTCGTTCTCTCGCTCCACCTTCCACGAGGACAGCAGCGAGGAAACGTCAGGAACAGAAAATGACTCCTACTCAGTCGGAGGTTCACGGAGCGTCTCACATTGTGAGAACACACACTCATCTACAACACACTTGTTTTAATCTGTTTAGAGGGTGGAAGATCACGTTCTGATTGTTGTGCTGTCTCTGTGCTTGTAGCTATTCTGATTTTTGATCATCTTCATTGTGAGGGTGATTACAGCTTTGTCTTTTATGTCTGTTTGCTGGGAGGAAAACGCATCACGTTTGTTGTAAATATTTGAAATTGTTGCACCTAAAAAAAATCTAGCTTGCTTGACGATGAGCATTGCCCTCTATTAAAGCCATGATCATTGCAGCTATTTTAAATAAATAAAGTAAAATTAAACCCGTCAGGTGGTTTCTTCACAAACTAACAGGAATTTAAAGGCCAAGTTCACTGAGAAGCCATTTTCTTCTTATTTTTGAAATACAATCAGCCACTCTCAGTTTCACATGCAGGCTGAATGCAAAAATAGTCCTCTACCCTTATCTCGTGCATTAGCCACTGATAGAAAATAAATGGGGAGTATCTCGGATTAGAAAGGACAGATCTACATCAGGCTGAAAACTAACATTCATGGATTCACCCATCTTGACTCACGATGGGGAAGGCTGTTGTTGGGTTAATGTCCAGGAAACAGCAGGGAACGTCTTGCTAATAGAAGCTAAACGTTAGCATTAGCAACTCCACAACACACAACTCCTCCAGGCTTTTGTTATTTGTGGAGATTAAACATCAGCGTTGCAGAGCAAACCGAGTCAGTGGTAGAGTTGTGTTGCTGTTAGCCAATCAGAGGAGAGATGTCCAAATATCAGGAAATATGGCTCCAAATCCTGTCGTCTGCTCAACTGTGACTTCTACGTCTTGAAAATGCTGACTCTCATGGCATCCATTCCCACTAGAGACCACTGCAAATGTATTGATTAAATGAGCGTTCCATACCTTTAAGCCTTCCTTGATCTGCATCATCTTTTCCATGCAGACAGGAAGACTAATTACTCTGCTTTCTCTCTACTAACAGCTGTCGCTCAAAGACGATTTGCGTCTGACAGGACTCTTGATGACACGGTGTCTTTCACAATAAGTTCTGTTTAAACAAAGCAGAAAACGACTCGTATTACAAATGAGAGAGCGCCGTGTTGTTGAAACAGTGTGATGATAAGCAGCTGTTCTGTAGGTAATCACAGGTTATTCTAACAATGACTTGTCTGGCCTGTTGTCAGTGGTGCGTAGTCGGGACAGGTCTGGGTGCTGGATGACGTCTGATGACTACTCCTCACTGGAAGCACTGGACCTAGTGTGGGCCAAGTGCAGAGGTTATCCTTCGTATCCTGCCTTGGTGAGACTCACTTTATCTAAACTGTGTCCAGTACTGAAATAAAAACCCACAAGATTTCCTGTTTTTAATAGCATTTGTGACATTCATGCCTGCAGATCATCGATCCAAAGATGCCCAGAGAGGGGGTGTTCCACCGCGGCGTCCCGATACCTGTACCACCTTTGGATGTGTTAAAACTGGGGGAGCAAATGACCCAAGAGGCCCGGGAGCACCTGTTCCTTGTCCTTTTCTTTGACAACAAGAGAACCTGGTCAGTGCTCTTGAACGTTTTTTTAGTGAATCACATTATATTACCGTATCAGTAATGAAACGGGTAAAAATGTCTTCCATTGAGTTTAGGCTGAAGTTTGTTTACCCCTCTCTGCATACAAAAGCATGAATCGATGTACTGTAAAGAACAATGCACGAGCAGAACGGGCTTTGATCTTACTGGATGTAGGCTCATATACAACTTTGTGGCAAAACTTCAAAACAGACTGCAGCATTTGCACCGAAGCACGAGATGACAGAACGTTCAGCAGAAAATAGGGCAAACGTGGTTTTTGAGAACTCAAAAAGGGGGAAAGAACACATAGTATTTTAGGTCATCATGTCCTCTGCATATAATTTGTTCAGTTTGAAGAATGGAAATAAAAGTTTCAAGCAGCAGAAGATGTTCACACCCTTTAAAAATCAGGGAGTCAACAAAAACTACGAGTTTTATTATTTAACCAGGATAGTGTGTGTGTGTGTGTGTGTGTGTGTGTGTGTGTGTGTTGTTTGAAGTGATTTTTTTTGTGTGTACTTTTCAAAATTGGCCTCGTATTAATAAAACTCTGAACATACAGTAATATGTGTTAATCTGCATCAGGATCCAGTTGGAATATACAATTCCACTTTCCTAGAACTGCAATTAGGGGCCACACAAAATCACTTGGAGGACTACAAATGGCCCCAGGGCCAAACTTTGGACACACCTGCTTTGAGGTACATTATCTTTCCTGTACCTCTAATTGGAAGAATATGTGTGTTTTGTGCGTGCAGGCAGTGGCTGCCGCGCTCCAAGTTGGTACCGCTCGGTGTGGACCAGGAGCTGGACAAGGAGAAGATGCTGGAGGGCAGGAAGTCCAACATTCGTAAATCTGTGTCAGTGGCCTATCATCGTGCCATGCAGCACCGCAGCAAAGTCCAGGGGGATCCAAGCAGCGAAACCAGTGACAGTGACTGAATACTAAAACACAGAAATCTTGCTCTGGGTCTCCCTAGTGTTCAGTTACTCTAACCTTGTAGAGAGCCAGACCTCATTTCACAAGTAACAATAAAACAATATCAGCAGCAAAAGGTGGGGAGACAGCACACACCCACTATTTTGTTCCCATCATGCACACTAAGCCATATTCAATCAGATATGTAAAAATATTGTATTTAAGAAAAATTTTAAAGTCCTAATATTGGTGGGAAAATATGTTGAGAGCCGTCAATTGAATAATCATCACAAGTGTTTTTTATATGTTTAAAACTAAATGAGATTATGGTTTACAAAGTCAAAAAGGTATTATAGTATAATGCAAATCTTCCCCCATTGTTTAACACACACACACAGCCTCACAGGTACATGTATACAGGGAAAAGCGTGTATCATGTACGGTAAACGACACATGCATGTATTAACATTAATCATCCACTACTTCAGAAGTGCATAAACAGAGACGGGGGCAACCAAGAGTACTGTAACTTATTCCACAGACTTTTTATTAACAAGCTCATTTCTTCATGAACTACTTCTGATCACTCCAGCTGCACAAAGCATTTACTGTGCAGGTTTATTTTTATTTTTTTAAACAGTTTTGTTAATACGTAACGTGTCACACTGACTGTGCATTCATAATGAGAACTAAACTGAAACACCTTTTCCTTATGTCTGTTTTAGTCTCAGGCTCATCGCTGTAGAACTTTTATATGAAAATACAGATTGCATACAAACTACAGGTTTAATAAAATCATTTTTAAGAATAATTCTTTTATTAGTTTTTTTTTTTTTTTTTTTTTTTTTTTTACTTGAAGGTGTGTTATGGTTGCTGTTGTCGCCGCTCAAAGGTAATGGGTGGACAATAACGTGTGTGTTTATCAAAATCAATGTCTTTTCATTAAGCATTTAACTTTTTTAACATTTTCAAAACAGAACAGGCAACTCGCAACAAGAAACCCCCACCCCAACACACTGGATCAAACTCAAAACGACAAAAGCCGGCTTGAAAGCAACACCAAATCAAAACAAAAATCAATCCACAAAAAATAAATGTCGCAAACAATTAACACGATCAAAATCAAACGAACACCATACAACACCAAACAATCCCCTCAGTCCATGCCCAATCCTATCCAAATGTCTGACATAACTTCACCAACCCAGGGACTGTACTTCAGCGAATCAACTCAACTCAATCTTTGTTTATAGAGCACTTTACAAAGTAACACCAAAGTGCTGTATAGAAAATAAGAGGCTGAACAACAGAATTAAAAGAAATTAGTACACAATAAAAGTCGTTTAAAACAGAATAAATTAGTACACATTAAAACAACAAGCAGGTTAAATATTACAATACTAATGGGGGGAAGGAAAGACCAAGTCATATAAACATGTCTTCAGCTTAAAGGGTTAGGAAGTTTGACAGCCAAAACATGTATAGAAATAATAAATTTCTTCTTCATACATTCTCCTGCAATGCCCTGGTCCTGTAGAATGAGCCCTGGCATTTTTACTGTGATTAACTGTTTTTCTGTTAAATCACAGAAAAAGAAAGTTGCTCGGGTTGAGCAGGCTGCTTCATGCGCGTTCACGCTCAGGCATAGCCCGTAGCATTTGCTAGCAGTAGCTTTAGCAGCAGAAAGAGAGGTAGTGCCAACTCAGCGACTTTGTCGCTGTTCCTAACGCCTAGTGACGAACATAGCTACATTTCTGAGGACGCTTAGCTACTTTCTGTAGAACTTTCTTCTAGATATTTCCTGCAAATTAGCAACAAAATAGCCATTTTCGCTCCGAACCGTTCTTTGGTTTGACGTTGTTTCAGCTGTCATCAAGGATATAAAAGTTACAGATACTTTGTTACTGGTGTGTAGCTTACCTTGTAAGATGTCTGACTCTCATGCAGAAGACCTGGGTTTGATTCTGGATGTGAACATAGTTTATTTAGTTTCTTTTTTACATTAATGGTATATTTTTTTACAGTAAGATGCCCAAATTTTTATTTGAGACTCGCCGAACGGCATTGAATTCACAGATAAAAAAGATGTGGGTTCAACTTTCATTTTGGAACAATTTTTCAAGCAAGGGAAGGGAATGATCTGAGCATGCAGGAGGACTGACCCATCAGAAACCTTTGTCGGCTGTGCTGAAGAGAAAGGTACAGAACCAAATTATTTAATTAATTAGCTGTGTGTTCTCCTGTCCTCTGTCCTCTGTCCTCTGGGCCACACACACACACATGGGACTGTCTCAGCTGTTATTTTCATTAAGGAGTGTGCACGTACAGCATGCGCGCCTCGTGCACGAGCCTACTATTGAAGCTGCCGTTAATGCTTTTGGCCTGAGGGGGAAATCGCGAGCATAAAAATTCTAAAGTCCGAAAAGTCCCTTTAACTTTAAAAACTGCCACTGAAGTGGAAGCCCTCACAGAGCTAAGTAGCTCATTCCAAAGCTTAGGGCCTGCCACAGAAAATGACCTGTCACTTCGCATCTTTAAAGATGTTCTGGGCACAGACAGCAGGAGACGGTTCTCTAAACCAAGTGCCCATACCGGGGTATATTGCTGCAATAGAGACTGTAAGTAGGATGGAGCTAAACAATTCAACGATATGATAACCAGTAAAAGGATCTTGAAATAAAATGTAAACTCAACAGGCAGCCAATGCAGTTCAGCCAGGACTGGAGTAGCATGGTCAAACTTCCTTTTGCCCATTAGAAATTTGCCAACTAAGGTGCCCTGCTTCACTCCATATAAAACCAAATTACAATTATCAATGCGGGTTGTAATAAAAGCGTGAACTACTACTTCCGGATCGTGTCATGTCAGGAATGGTTTCACTTTTGCCAAACATCATAATTCATAAAAAGAGGAGGAGACAATTCCATTTACATGTGCTTCAAAACCCAACGCAGTATATAATTTTACTCCGAGGTTAACAATTGATGCCTTTACTTGGGAACTGATCGATCCACAGTTAAGTAAAGTGGCGTTAATATGGCCACTTGGCCCAAATAGGAATGCCTCTGTCTTTTCCTCATTGAGGCAAAAAATTCCCCAGCATCCACTTCTTTACTTCAGACAAACAATCTACCAAATTGTTAATAGCAGAATTATTTACTGAATCCAAGGGTAGGTAAAGCTGACGATCATCAGCAAAAAAATAAAAGTTGATGCCAAACCTATGAAAAATGTTTCCCAGAGAAAGAACATAAATCAAAAACAGTAAAGGTCCAAGCACAGAGGAACCCTGTGGGACACCCCAGGGAAGACTGGAGGAAGCAGATGGAAACCCCCCATCCTAATACTAATGGTTCTATTAGCTGAGTACAAGCTAAACCATTGCAAAGCCAAACCAGAAATCCCCACATATTGCCTAAGGCAGTCAAGCAGCACATCATGATCCACCGTGTCGAATGCAGCAGTAAGATTCTGATTTTGAAAACAAAACCTTTGTACCTGTTTTGACACACGTGTCCAAAAAGTTTCCTATAGCAATGATTTGCTTTAACATCAACCAGGGGTGCAATGATTGCAGTTTTTGGCCAATCACAGATCTTGAAAAAAACCTGAGATCGGGGCCGATAAATTGGTGCACCCCTATTAAAGAGACATCTAACATTAAAAAAAGAACATTAATATTTCACCAACCCTGTCTGGTCAGGTGAGACAACTGTAGTGAGCACCATTCCAAGATGCTGAGCTGGGACCTTCGCTAGAATTTTAACATCGGTTCAAAAGATATTGGCTTGTAAGCGCCACAGCATAAGGGGTTTTTTTTATCAGTTTTCAAACGTACAGAAATAACAGTTTGCCACATAGTTGGCAGAAGCAACTAAGCAGTAGATGACTAATTGAAGTTTGACAAGAGTCAGCAGTTGCGCTCCGATCCAGTGAGGAGAACACACATTTAGTGTCTCCATGAGGTAATGTCGTGAGAGGTCAGGCAACTGAGAAAACAATCTAGTGAAAAAAGATAGTTCATACCAATGTGGTGCGCATATCTATACCAAAACAAAGTGTGAACAAATCACCCACCACAATTATATAACGCCCTGCAGAATCTTTATGTTCCCTTGAAATGGTAAATTGTACATAATTATCAATTCTGACAGTGACTCTCCTTGACTTAGAGCTAAAAAAAACACCTGACCAGACATTTATTTTTATTTAAATTCATCCACTGAACAAATATATCTCCCGGAAAAAAAGCAATGTCTGATTTAAGTAATTTGGAATGAGCTGTAACCCTCCTACAATTAAAAGGATTATAAAGGGATTTAGCAAGCCAACACACACATGTAAGACATCCACACCTCTGTGCTTATACAGAGAAACCAAGCCCCTACTACAAACACCAGAGCTCTCAGAAAGTCTCTTTAACCACAGCAGGAATGTGACTGAAGCTTTCAGGAAGTGATTGTTTATAAATCTAAAACTGATTAACTTTTTAAGTCAACACTACTCAAGCTAATCAACCTTCAGCAAAGACGAATCTGACTACAACTCGGTTTTACAGATCCTGAGCTAAAGCACTGTGGGAGCTATTCACAACATATATTCTTAAAACAATGCATGAGACTGAGCATACTTTTGCCCCAAATAACTATAACTCCATCATTTCTCAATACAAGTCATAAAAAGGAGCAGGTAATTTACATCCTTTCATATCATTAATATTTTAGTTTTTTTGTAATGTTTTGTATTTTCCCCCTGTCCTGATTGAGACACAATAGGTCCATTATGCTTTTTCATCCCTGATGGAAATTCACACAGCCGGCACAAAAGCTGACAGGTTTTTCATTTATTTTGATATGCTTCCATGATGAGTGATTACTGCATGCCTGAATATTTAAAAGAAAAACAGCATTTTTAAGAGAACTTCCTGCTCTACTTGGAAGGGGAAATACTCTGTGTGACCTGAAACGTGAGACCTGTGAAGTAAACCTATCCTAAACCCTCAGGCTTTCTTAAAAATGACATGAAACAAAATAAAAATCTAGAAAAATGTCTGATCTGACGTTTACAAAGATGTTGATTTATTTATTTACTATTTTATTTGTTAATCAGGACAGTGCATATTTACATCAGACATGCTGAAACATGCCAGAATTAGCCATGGGCTAGTTTTCACCTGTAGTCCTGTGCCAGTTGCACATTTGGCTACCTAGAAAGGACATAGAAACATTATAGAATACATATGCAACAATGCCATGTAACTAAGGCAGCATATTAATGCAAGAAGCTGCATGAAAACAGTGTTAAGAAGGAATAATAATAAAAAGCAACAGGATAACAAGCACAAGCAGCAAAAGCATTAAAAAAGCTAAAATACACACAAAAGTTAAATAAGAGTTTTGTTTTGTTGAAAAATGTTGATTAGAAAGTAAAAACAGCACAGAGACACAAACGTTTACAATAATCATTGACTTTTATCATTTTTAGACACAAACTAGTTGTAATCTGGCTTTACTTGTTAGACGGCAATTAACAAAAAGCTCTTGTCCCATTGTAGTGTTTGCATATCCACCACCCTGTGTAGAGTTCATCAGGTAGGCCGTATGCAACAATATGTTAATGTGTAAACTGCAGCATGGCTGACTGGTTGTTTGTTTAAAAGCAGCATTTTTAAGACGAGTTACCTGCTGACAGAACTCTGGTTTAGCTCTGGTGGTTATTATGACAATTACCTTAAACAGATCGAGACTTTTCATTCATTCTTTCCACAAGAGATAAACATTCCCCACCCAACTGGTGCGTCACAAAATAAAT